GAGCGCGAGGGCATAAGGAAGAAGGATAACATTGAATGTATCCACTTGTTCAAAGGACACCAATAGGATATAGTCCCTTTAGTAAACGATCGATCCAATGATGTTCTCATCTACACCTATTCCTATATTAGATCAATTGATCAATAGACCCATTGGATGTGACATATCGGATCATCACCCCCTCAAGACCGAGGTAGATCAATTACATTGATCCATAGGTACAATTGATGATAGATCTGTTTCCTGTGTGTCACCAATAAAGTCTAGACATCGCTGCATAAGCCTTAAACTTACTTCGTGCATAATCTGCAGGGTTGGCCCTCTTAGGTAAAAAGAAAAAAAAAGGAAAGAAAAGGGAAAAAGAAAAGAAGAATAGAAGACGAAAACCCTACCAAGGTATAAATATATAGATACCATACAGTTTCGTGCTTCAATATTTATTATCATGGCTTTAATAGGCACGATACTAGGTTCCTTGAGGCTGGTTTCTCTCTGCAGCGCCTATCCCAGCTACTCCAAGCATTAGCACAGAGACACTGAAATATTTTTCCATTCTTTCCTCGGCGACGAACATTGGTGATGGTCGTTCTCATCACTCGGCCGCTCACCGCTTGCCCATTCCTCTGCGACTTCCCATTATATCCGAACACGATGACCGAGTGAAGGATGGCCGTTGGAGTGCGATAGACACACAGATATTCATAAATACCTCGGGAGTGTGGTTCGAATTAATATCAAAGATTAATGAGTCTAACTCGTTTGATGACACCACTTACCTTGAGCTCCTGTGGAGTCGAGGCATGGGTTAGATTGATCCCACCATATACCCCCGATGAATATATGTAGGGGTTAACCCACCTCGCGCTGACTTTTATGATATACTCAGAGACCATCTCCTATAATACCGCTATCCTCCATATTTTGTATGCGACGACCCTCGCGGGTTAAGCGGTCGAAGATCGAGGGAGCCCAGTCCCGGTGTATACGCGGTTCCGCTGCTACTTCTACGACATGAAGTTTGCGCTCGAGGGTATATGTCCCTTCTAGACTTACAGGGGCGGCACGACAAGTGAACTTTTGAAATACTGTTGGCAGGGCTTTGCCGTTTGTATCTCGTCTCAAGCTCTGGGGTGTATCCCTCCTGGTGATGTGAAGGGTGAAGGACCCAGTCCCTCAAGGCGAGAGGATCCTCGCGTTCGTGCCCTTTAATGGCTGGCTGACCGACTATTAATCCCTCATTGAACGGAGGAGCTGCCCATAACGGCGAAACCCCGAAACCCCGGGACCGAGCGAAAGAGGAGGGGTTTTTCAAGAGGAAGAAAGAGAAAAGAAATGAACTGTTGGGCGCGAACTCTGGGCATCTTACGACCCAGCGTCCGGGAATTCGATCCCTGGATACCTTAGGAGTGTTCATCCGACCGCCCCCGGCCCCCCGGGCCTTTTTCTTGCGTGGGGTACAAGGGTCAAAGTGTACGAGGCTTGTCGATAATTTCCTTTAAAGGGGTGAGGCGATCTTTTAAGCATGCTCGGAGAGCAGCTAGCCTCCGGAGTTTTTGATCTGATTTGGCGCGACTGTTTTTGTTCGTTAACATTCACAAAGGTTCCGGGACTTAGAAGAGGAGGGAATGTGCTCTGTGTTAGTTTGTGGCAGCAAGGTAATAATACCCTCACTATGTTTCGGGACAGTTTGAAGAATAGCACCGTTTCCATCTGGTGTATGGGTCTCCCTTGCATCCAAGACACTATGGGCAATTTCGGGATGCGCCCAGACAACGGTGGACGACTCGGATTTTGAGACCGGGCTGCCCCTATCCCAACAGCCACCCACGCTCTTATATCACCGCCCTTCCCTCTACTTCCATTTTCTTTCTCTCTCTTTGTTGCATTTCTCACGCCGCGCACCAGTTGTCTCCAGTTTGCTCCGCGCAGAACTGGGCATCTTCTGTCCTAGTGGACGAGCTGCTCTCAGCCTACATATACCGAATGGCGAGAATCACCACTCAAACGGCCGCAATCGATAACGCTTAGTCAACCGCGATGTTGCCTGGAATCAAGGACAAAGCAAGAGCCCCGGATGCCATTATCACCACCTAGGCATGGTGATTGCGTTGGAAAAGCCCTCTCCGGCTGCAGGTCACGAAAGCCCTGGCGTCTCGTTATCAGTTGAACGTCATGCTGGGGAGAAAAGAACGAGAGAGCTACTCTCTCCATATCGGCCTAGCTTGTCCTCACCACGAGACTATCAAGCATCGAATCGAATCGGTCGTCTGCTCGCCGTTACCGACTAAACATTAGCGAGTCTAGGGCTGGGGAAAGAGCGTGTGTGGAAGGGTGCTTGGGGGCAATTAGAGGAAAGAAATCGAGGCACTGCGCCCAGCAGCGTCCACCTGACCATACTCTATTATCATCAACCCACCGCCGCGCTCGCCTTTGATACAGGCTGTCTTGAGCTAACCGACGGTCCCCGGAAATCAAAAGACTGACCCAAGTAGGGGGCGAGTTGCTGTTGGAAAAATTTCGGCATACAAAGAAAACGGCAATCTCATCTAGTCTTGGAATTTTGCCGGGATGGATCAATATTGATACGAACTGGTTTATTCGTCGAGGCATTGGTCGTTACTAATGTCGATTTGTCCACGAGTACAGGGACCGGGGTCCAGCAATCCGTGCATTCAATTTGTTCGGCTCCCTGATTATGTTTGCACCAAGTCGAATCACTTGATCAATACGGTAGCAACCCTAGGCCTCAGCTGAATTAATTTTGCCTCTAGCTCACAAGGACTAGGAGAAGAAGGCTAGACGGCCGGCGCACTCCTTCGGGGCTCCCTTCCTGGCCCAGGGAGAGGCATAGCTAACACGCATGGATCCATGAAGTATAGTCTGATCAGAGGCGGCCGAGTGAGAAGAACCGCACCCCAGTTCGATATTCAACAACACTTGCCTCAAACGCGTCCAACGACAACAATAGCGACTACCTGCGTTCTCAGATGCCACGCATTGGCTAAGGAGAAGGAAAGGGCCAACTATGCTATACTTATCAAACGAAAAAAAAAGCGGAAGCCAATGCCTCTCACGACAAATAGTAACTCCGAGTCAGAGGTGACTGGGTTCGAGCTGCGTACACGTAATGACAGGGGTCCATGACTTTGCCCCTGACGACTGCCCGACAGGTACGGTTGCTCCCCTCAACAAATGCGAGCATCAGATCAATTCCATGAATCCATGGATGCCAACGGTGGATCACAAGCGGATTCACTCACCTCGCGATGGGCGATCTCGAGATGTAGCTCAGGCTTGCTTCAAGCTCCATCACCAGCAAACCTAGGTGTTTCTGCCGCTCGGCTTCTGATCAGTCACTCTCTGATGAAGGAGCCTTTATCAGGCAATGTGATACCTCCCAGCAATTGGGAGAGACCCAAGGAGGCAGTAGCTTCGCGGGACCCGCTGATGGAGACCCACACCCTGGCACGATACCTCTGAAGGAGGAGCCAGCGTCACAAGACCTCAACGTATTGCCAGAGCGTGAGAAGGGCCGGGGTCTGAGCAGGCGTTGCCACTAGGTAGCGGAATAGGTTCTCAGGGTTATATTAACCTATTTTGGTCCCTCCCCGTCGCTTTCTTTGGGTGCCTGCTCCTCACCAGCTCTTCACTCTCATCCACCTCGCCCGTCTGGTCGATTTCACTCGTTTTCCGCACGTTTTTCTTTCTTTCTTCATCACCCAGGCGTTTTTCTACTCGACTTTCATCGACTTGACCATTTTCGGCCTCTTCGCCGAATCCTCTCGCTAAACTTTGACCCTCGTTCACCTCACCCGTCCGGTGGATTCCACTCGTTTTCGACACAAACCCGGGCCTGTTTCTGCTCGCCTTTCATCGACTTATCTACCTTCAGCCCTGCAACCAGCAACATGCCCAAGGGGGCAACCGGCAATGAGGAGGTTCTGGCAAGGGAGTGGGACCAATCCGGGAAAGGGAGGCAACGGGTCGGCAGACATATATGACGACTATCGCAGTGATGCTTTCAAGAATGCCGACAAAGGGAAGGGAAGACTAAATCTGGCTCTGGCCCTTCACCTCCGCCTCGGAAGTAGACATGGCTTACCTCAAGTCTCGGCGCCAATTACTGCTTTGATAACGACAGCGGTAGGTTTCCCTTTCTTTCGTTTCCTTAGCCCCTCTCTGCGTGCTTACTTTGCCCGTTTTGCCTTCCTCAGCAAAATTCCATCCCCAAATTTTTATTTTATTTTATTTTATTTTTACTTGACGCTAACATCGCTACTCTCATCGCGCACAAGCCCATAATGTAAATGAGGCCCACGAACCATGCATATTGTCCAGATGTCATGATGTCACTCATTATGAAAAAGAAACGGAGCAAATTTCATTCTTTACAGGCTTCGGATTTTGTTTGGTTAGGCCTTGGTACTCTGCACACGACATTTCAATAGCGTCTGTAATGAATAAATAGTCACTACATGCATCTGACGATGGTGGCTTTTACATTGTCAGCACCAAAATCTCACAGCCATTACTGCTCTTTTCAAGCAGTCTTTCCCGAAGAAAATGCATGAATTATATGACGGGTGTTTTTCGCCTCTGTGCCTTGCCGTGCTGCTCGCTTGTCGCGTTTGCTCTGAAGCTAGCTGGCGCGCGGATCTCGTGCTACATCAATTGTCGTTCCCTCGGCACTTGTAGCGTTACATCCTACCGTTTCTCCCCTTTGTAGTAGAGCGGAACATTGAAGGAATGGGCAGTTCCGTTTCCTGTAACCCCCTTCCCATCGCTCAATCTCGCCTAGGGTGCCGCTTGGTACCCCTCAAGTCACTTTGGGTGGGGGTGGGGGTGTGCGTCGGCCGATCATTTATTCGACGAGCAGTTGCAGCCTTGTAAAGGTATTCCTGCCTTTTATGATACCGCATCTCGACAGAATGGAGTTTTCGTGAGAGTGAGGCATCTGAGAGCCCATCGATGGCCGGTGCGCTAGGGGATTCGACAAGTCAATGCTCGGGCGTACGTTGGACAGGTGGATGAGAAGGCTCTGGGCCATTTCTCTGTTGCAGTTTCGAGCAATAGACCTAAGGGCTCACTCTTAGTATATATAGAAAGCGTCGTCGTTTCAGCCCTCGATGAGTGAAAGGAGCTTTCGCGCCAGCGCCTCTCATCTACCACCGGAAGCCTCCTTACCAGATCTACAACCTACTTGTCTTGGAGCCCAAAAAAAGGTATTTTGACAATTCTTTGTCGAAAATTGGAGGGATTATGTCGGAAAACCGGGATGTTGAGCTCGGCGAAATTGGGGACGTAGAAGCTGAACAATCGATCGACGCAGCTTTGCAGGAAATTTGGGATAGCTACCGAACCGGTGAGTATCGAATAGGGATAAAGCTTGAATGGCTGATCCCACATACTAGATGTATGGATAGATGTTTAGTGAGTCAAGACTTACATGTATGGACCCCTTACAGGACATAAGCGAGGGATTCCTGGTCTTGCCCTTGACCTCGCCCTCGACAAGACTCTTGGTGGTCAAGTCTTCCTCCACCTCCCTGGGATTTACCTAGGCATCCTATACCGAACAAAAAGGGCGGCGTCTCTTCAATTGAAAGCGCTTCAGGGTTTGCAGAATAAGCCTGACCCGTCCTTCGGCGAGGAGGAGAACGTCGATATGGAGAAACTGTGTGATATCAACTCAAAAATCAGTAGGTGCCACTTCAACCAACGAGCCGTTATCTTGCCGTACCTCACTCGCTAAGGCATTGTGATGAGACGAAGGCCAAGGGCCCGAAGCGCTACACATGACTGACACGGTAACCGTCTGACAGTGGAAGATTACGCCTTGCTGAGCCATCTCAATGGCCAGAGGGTGCCATCAAAATACGACATCTCCCGCGTTGAGAGGCTGACTCAGTTCTATTCTGATGACTCCGACTACAAGACTCCGTTCCAGGGTCGGCGGGATTTGCACAGGGCGCTGAACAAAGGGGACTTCGTCTTGGACGTGGTCAAGTGGATGTTTAACCACCGCGTGCGGCATCTTCTCGTGAGTTTCCCAGTCCGTGCTGTTCAGGGTATCGTGTCCTAGCTAACATCAATGTCTTCATCCGTTAGTATTGGCTCAAGAAAACGGAAGTGGATGCGGGAGATTTGACGCGTACATCATCAGGGCTCCAGAAAACCAGGTTCATTGCAGCTATTGTTCTCTGGGTTGCTTTCATGACATCGTGTTTCCTTCCCATCTGCCTGATGCGCTTCGGATATGATAAAACCCCTGTCTTCACTCTGATCTCTCTCGTCATTTGCACCATCGTGGTGACAATCATCATCTTTGGGGGCGATGTGAGACCAAGTGTAGTACTCTGTATCCTGTGTTACTTGACCCTTATCACCCCGGGCATTTTGGATAAGCAGCTGTCCGCTCCTCGAGATGTGGGGCATCCGCCGACTTGAAGCTTGAATTAGGGAGAGCATGTCGTGCGGAGTTGAGCGTCTGCGAAGAGGACGTCAAAAGCCATTCTGGGGCCAAATCGAGAATGGCATCGGCTCGGAAGATGCATCGAGGGATGGTGCGTGGGTTCGAGGAAGGCTCAGGCCGTTTCACCGCAACATGTTTGCTCTCGTTCTCGTCTCTGCACTTAGATGTGGGCTGGATCTCGGTGTGGTGCCGCCAATCAACAAGCCTATGATGATAGAGAATATGTGACGTCTAGAAGCTTTGCAAGAGTGGAACACTGGGCGAGGGCCTTGGTGTGCCTGAGCGACTGGAAGAAAATGAAATGGATTCACTGGTTGTTTTCGTGGTTGCACCTTACCATCTCCCCAACATCCATCAATTGGGATGGATGTAATTTGAGTAGAGCACGGTATTAGGATGTCCGAAAGCGTGGGCAAGAAGAAGCGTTTGGTACATCGATCAATTTCGAAGTTCAGACTGACCGACTTTCCACACTAGGCTGCGAAAGGCCGCGGCAGCCCCTTCTACCCAGCTATCTTCAATGTTCCTTTTCTTTCTCTCTCTTTGTTTTTTTGTTAAAGTGAATCGCACTGTAATGCTCAACCGCATCCCACCCCAAGTCTTTCGGCAAAGAAGCGCTGAGGTGGGGGCAATCTTGTTGAGGTCCGTTCCTGTGACCAAGCCCACGACACACTCTCTACATCAATGATGTACCTTCAAGCTTGTCAACGAAAAAGATACTAGAAAGAACGCTAATTCCGATACCCGTATCTATATATGCAGGGTCTCCTCATGGTAGAAAGATATCAAGGGGCCATCGATTATCTTTCTACCAAGGATGACGACTGTTTCTATATCATGAACCGGCAGCGGCAACGAACGGCGATTGTTACAGGGACGACTAAACTCTTAGAATGACTCACCGATTCTTCGATGACGACAGAAGAAAGGTCAACATGAGGCCTTGAGTGTTGGCGACTTTGGTCCCTCGTTATCATCTCGATACAAGTTGTGGTGAAACCCCAGACCAGCCCTTAATCGCTTGCAGCCTGCGTGAACTCCTCCTATGCCAATCTAGCTGCAGGTGAACTCGAAGAACAGCATGCGGTAGCTTGATGCCACCATATATGGATTGACCAATTACGCTGACGAATTGTGCGTAGCCTTGAAGGTTCTTCCCGCCCGTGATGCCCCCAAGAGACCCTGGGGACCTCTTTGGAATCGGGGCCGCAAAAGAAAAATCAAGGAAGACCAACCAGCATCTTATGATATTTCATACGTTGACCGACCGATCCTCTTCATCTTTGACTCTCTGAAAACCACCCTGCTGAGATGCTCACGAGAGAAGTCCAGTATCTGGCTTTGGACCGCGGGAAGACGCGTGCTTTAATCACCTATCAGCCCTACATATACTAATTAACTGTCCGCTTCGCCTAAATTTGACTTGGAGTCCTCTTAGACTTGGCTTTCTTTGGGCAACACACAGTAGTATAGCGTGGATCTATTCAATGCTGTGAGCCGTAAGCAGCATTCGTCCAAACTCTAATCAGTGCTACCAAGCTAATGCCGCATACCTCCACTAGACTGTTTGGAGCCTACATCCATAGATCAATTGATCAATGTACTGCTTGCGCTAGCTATCCGCCCGGACTAGCAGCTCCCCCTCTGTGCTACCCCTCTCTTTGTGCTGACCCTCGCCGCCAGCCGGGCTCCGGCTCAGCTCAGCCAAAAGTCAATTCGGAAGTCCCCTGTCCCTTCACCACGATGAGATCAAGCAATGCAGGGCAAAGGAATTCTAGACAATGTTCGCATCTTGGCTGCTTAGTTCATAGAGCAATATCAATTGATGTTGAAGCCCAGCAAGACCGTCGCTGCCTTGAGGTAGAAGGCGGGTGACAAGAAAGACCGTTGTCGTCCTACCTCCCTCACATTACCCTCAATTTAGCGTTATGATCCCTTCAGCGCCGCTCCGCTTTTCACGACGGCTAACAATTCTCTAAGCCTAATGGATCCATTGTATCAACAACGCACACAGGAAATGGGCGAGGCTCGTTCCCATAGCATCACATTTTTGAGCCCGCTGTGAGAATGACATCCAAGAGCGAAACCTGGCACAGACTGGCTCTGCCGACTCTCATTCTGGTCGATTCACAGGCTGCAGTAACTACCCCATACGATCTGGTTGCTGCAGCTTTGGCCTTGCGATCATGACCGTTTCTAGAGGGTTCAAATACCCTTACAGATGCCCAGGCTCGCGGGGATCCTTGATCCGCCTCGTCTTACTGGCTGGCTTTCTTCGGCATTTGCTTGCCGCTATGTATCCCCAAGTACTTGGAGGTAACAGCCTTTGGCGCACCATGCATAGCACACCATGCATATCACGTATTTCCTTCTTGGCTGGGCAGGTAAGGGCGCCGCCCCAATTGCCCCGGATAGTCTCTGACAGCGACGGCTTCACCTAAGGTTAGTATTATCTACATCTACCCCACAGCCGTCCATTTCTCTCTCACCCGTCACGACCCGCTTCGCCATTCCGCGCGGCCTGCACCGCCCTCCGTTATTGCTTGGTGTGTTTGGGCCACTATGAAAAGATGCACACTAAGATGGGGGTTTGAGTGACGAAACTCTGACATCCGAACCCGCCAACTTGGGAACGACACCCTCACGATGATAATCTTGCTGCGAATAAATGTAGGGCTAGTCAAGAGCTGGGCATTTTCTGAAGCGGTGAGAGCCTAACGGATAGCCTAGGGTTTCTTGGCCCCGCCACATGTTCCAGCCGGCTGTGATGCCTCACGATCTTCTTATGTATCCGAGGATGAGTTGAGAGTTCGGTCATGTCCTTACTCTTGGCCAAGCATTATGCAATGACAGTACTCCCACTCAGAAAGCGCAGAGAGAAGGCGGTGAACATCAATGTGTGCGAAGCAGTCACCAGGCTCCTTCAAAGCTGCACGTTGCCTCCGTGTCACGAATCGCGTCGGGCAGATATCTACAGAACTCCAAGCGGATGAGGACTCACAGCTCAGCTGGTAAGCAAAATGAGAAACGTGTCGGCCCACCACAAAGCGGATAGAACTGGAACCCCGGAGTTGAGAGGGAAGAGAAGGCTATGGGGCTGTGCGTACGCATATCCGTCCCCTATCTATCTTGAAGATGAAGCGGGCGCATGAAGGGGGCGTGGAGGAAGAAGATGCCAACTGGCCAACGGTAAGTTTAAAGGGCCACCGCGCCGAGATCAAGTGAGAAAAGGCGAGACACCGTCGCCGTGGCGCAAACGGAAGGAACACGATACCATTAGCGTCCGATCACCTTTTGTAAGCGCGGTTGGCGCGAAGCAAAGGTGTCTTATATCAGATGGATTGGACTTATTCATGGATGGCTGAGTCTTCAAGGCATCCTGTTCCCTGATTCCTAGGTCAGCATATCTTCAAGCGATATTAGGCAATGATCTGGGATTTGAGTTGGACAGAGGCAGTCTCCGAACCCATACGCGACAGGGAGGCTATTATACTTCGAAAAGGGCCATGACTACCGAGGTACGGAGAGAGGGATTTAGGAGGAGGAACAAGGAAGAGATAACACGAATCTTGCATCAATCCCCGTCCATTACACAAAATCTCGGCAGACCCCCACGCTCGAGCATGCATCTCAGCTAGCAGGGATAAATCTTAGGGATGATGTAAACCATCCCACTCATAAACACCTTTGTCTATATTCTAAGGTTTATTAAGGCCGAGGCACTGGCCTTAATTGTGATCTTAAATGAAGGTGAGTGAAAGGAAAATCACTTGATAGCAGTCAGCCCTGAGGCGCCGAAATGCATTTTAACCAACAGTGGCCACAGTCAATATGGCCCTGTCTTTCATTCTTTGTCCTCGGTGAAGTGCGCCTTGGTAAGTTTGGGGATCAAAGATGGCGAATCGACCAATACAGGCACCGTAGAGGCGAATAAGAGACGACAAGATCAACATGGATTGGTAGATGGGAAAAGGGCGCCCCGGGTGAGCAGATGCGCATCATTCGGATTGATCCATCCTTTTGCAGCCTCTCTCCGCAAACTAACCCCACTTCAACAGGAATTTCTCACTTTCTAGTCCTTTTTTCGCCTTACTCTTTTCCCCAAACCTATGAGCACTCGACTGCTCCCTCACCCCTCCCCAAAGTTAATCTTCTACATTACCTTCTAGAAACCTATCAGGGAAGGATATTGGCCAATTATACTCCGATTTGCTTCCATTTTCGATCTTCCGACCGGGGTTCTAGCTGCATTGACTAAGACGCATTTTCACCATGGCAGTGAGTCTACGGCCCCCGCCCCCACTTCCTGCGTCAAGAGGAAAGCTCCATGAGCTAGGTTCAAGTCTAATGGTAACCTAGAAGCTATACCCGCAAATCGTATTGTTTGGAGATTCTTTGATCCAAGGAACGGCCGAGGTCCAGGACGGCTTCTCGTTCTTGGGCGAGTTACAGCATCGTGAGTCTCTTGAATATGAATCGCCCTTGGCCTTCATTTGGTATTTGCATTGGACCGGCACATGAATTTTCTCTTGCTCACTGTTTGGTAATTTCTCTCCGTCTTCGACGCAAAGATGTCATTCGAAGGTACGATGTCGTCAACCGCGGATTTTCGGGCTATAACACTGCCAATGCTCTGAAGCTCCTCCCCGAGATCTTTGCTCCGGCTTCGGAGCATACGGCCAAGATTGAATACTTTGTACGTGGTGGTAGCTGCCGGGGTTGAAACGGTTACTGGTTACACGGTCACGGCAGACTAACACAGCTCTCGTTTCCAACCCTGCAGTTCGTCCTCCTCGGGGCAAACGATGCCGTCCTGCCCCTTCCCACGACCACCCAGGGCGTCGCGATTGGGAAGTACAAGGAAAATCTCAAAAAGATTGCGACGCACCCCATCATCACCAGCCACAACCCCAAGATCTTCATCATCCCGCCGCCTCCCTTGGACGAGATCCACGCGTCCCGGCGGGACATTGAAAACGGCCATCCACGGGGCACCCGCACGGCGGCCATCAGCGCCCGGTACTCGGAGACGGCGCGCGAGGTGGCGCGCGAGGTGGGCGCCGAGATTGTGGATCTCTACCGGGCTGTCATGGACAAGGCGATTGAGCTGACGCCCGGGTTTGACGGCGGGGCGGGGGATGTGCTGGGAACGCCTGAGTGCGGGAAGCAGGGAGGTCTGGAGCAGCTGTTGAAGGATGGTCTCCACATGGGCGGGGACGCGTACAGGGTATTTTACGAGATTGTGAAGCCCAAGGTTGAGGGTCCCTGGGCCACGGCACCCGAGGAGGAGAAGGTGGGCTACGTGTTCCCAGATTGAAGGTCCTTAACCCTCCAGAGTGAAGGGGACGGTGATGGACGCAACCGGCTATTTTGGTGACATTTTCCTCACCAGCTGAATGTGGATGGCTGGCGTCGCCGAGACATTTCTTAGACCAACATCAAGTGTTGACTGCGTGGGTAGATTTAAGATTATTTGACGCAATGGGGGGGAGGGTCTTTGAATCACGAGGGAGACAAGATCGATAGAGCCCCAAAAGGCAGCGCACCTTCCTAAACGAAGCTATGATACTTGATACTCGGCCTAGGTCTGATTGAATGATCGGAGGAATGAGGACGGGTCGCGTAAAATTTTGTCTTTGTAGAGGCCTCGTCTATTGTGTAGCAGCCGACTTGACGGGGAATAAAAGCTACTCAACTGGCTTGAAAACGTTTGACGTAGAAATTGGGGGTCTTCGCGGTTGCTCATGTCTCCTGCCTGGGGTGGGTTGGAGATGACGCTCTCTGACCACAGCAGGAAGGACAAGGTTGGCGTCTTGCACTGTTTGCCTGCCCCGCAAGGACGAGATTGGCTGGTCCATCCAATGAAGGACGAGCCGAATCTGAGATACTTTGCGGCATGTGCGGTACGAAGTACACGTCCCTTCGCTAGGCCTAACAGAGAGCTCTCAACTCTCTGTCGAGTGCTTCGGATGCTTGTAGCGACGGGCGAGCACAAGCAGCCAGCCAAACCAAGCCGTGCCGATTGCCAAATCCCTGTGCTCCAACGTTTGTTTGCCTCGTCCAGAACCTCGTCAAGCATTGGTTTTTTGATTCACTGGGCCCGCTCCCGCTTCGTTCAACCTCTTCAGTGTCTCTCTCTCCCTTTCCCCATTTCTGCCCCCTCCTCGAACATCCTCAGGCCACATCCCCTTTTTCCATTTGCAAGGCAACAGAATAGTCAACCCTTCATCGACGCTGAAGCGGTTGCAAGGCCTAGAAATCAATCCAGATCGCGAACAATTTCCCAAACTCTGCCCGCTCCTTCCTCGACCCCGATTTTCCCCTCGAACAAGTTCCGCCACCCCCTGTCCTGACGCAAATACCGCGAGAAGGAGTAATCACCAGCTCCGACGCAAGGCTGCAAACTTGACGACGAGTAAACCACCAACGTCGCGGCTTACCCTATCCCGAACCCTCGACCCGATCCACGCCACGAAGTGTCCTGATCCTCTAGATTCTCTCCTCTCGGACAATTCGCGCAACTTAATATAACTTTTATTTTGGGAACTGTCTCGAAATTCGGTAATTCCCGTCGAGCAATTCTTTAAGCGGGTGTGTTTGTCCACCTCGCCTTCCTGCATCGACCTTGTGCCAACTGTCCAAAACGGCAAGCTTCTTTATCGACTCTGTGCGATCCCCTGCGACCCCCAGGCATCCTCGATATACTTTTGGCGCCGAGCACCCCCTTTTTGCATCTTTTGCTGCCTCGCCCTTCTCGAGATATTTAGTCGCCCCAGCCGCCACCTGCCGCCGGCCACCGCCTTTGCTTCGTTCACGCGCACCTCACCCTCGATAACCGGCCCAGTCCCCGCGACGCTCAGCGCCGATTCGACATACCGCTCGATCCTGTGAGAACCAGATAGAGCTTCATCGATATCTAGATTCAATAAGCGCATCAGCCTCGTTCTCTCGGACACCGTGAGAAGGTAGGCATCGCCGTCAAAGACCTTTGGTCTTTCTCGTGCGATGTGGCGGACGAGGGGGTCCTCGTAAACGACGTTATCCACAGATATCACGGGACACGGGCCTTGTTTCATTCTTTTTTTATTTCCCATCCGTTTGTTCTGACGCGAGGAGCTATCGACTGGCTCTCTGCGCCGAAGCTTGTTCGGTTTTCCCTTTGCAACTTCGTTGAAGCCATTCGTTAGATGGAAGCTGCGAGATTAGGGATAAGCACACCCTCTTCTAAAGCTTCGACCGTTCCTTCCTTCTTGGACTTAGTCTTGCCCTACGCCGCCCAAGGTCGCGAGACTCTCTGCTGCTGACCTAGCATTTTTCTTTTCCTTCGTGATCGTTCTTCGTTTCGTCACTCGGCAACGCGCACTGAGACAGTCTTTAGTCGAGTCACATACGCCCCCACTCCTCCGGATCCAGGGCGCTGTCCAACTGCTGTCCCGACTAACCTTCTCGTTTACGGGATGGATCCGCGATTCTCGGTGAGCCGCGAGGAAGTGAACGGTATCCATATGGATCTGAAACACCTCCAGCACGCGCATAACAACCACGCCGAGAGGATCTTGCGCCTCGAACGACGTCAAGCAGACGATGCTGCCATCAAGGCTGCGTGGTCCCCGTTCCCTGGCGTCCTAGCTACCACACCCCAGCACGGTAAGGTCTTGCACGTCCACCCTAGGCCTCAGCTCGTCGCTAACAAAGTACTTTGGACAGGGCCTGTGGCGATGGCTCCGAATGACGATGACCTCGACGAGTTTGGAACTCATTTGATGAACTCGCTTCATCTGCCCCCTGCAGAAGAGGAACCCGTGAGACGAGGAGCTACTTCTCGCGCCAACAGCGTCCGGTTCGACGAGAGTGCTTTGCACGGGTCTAGCTGGGGCGGACAGAACACGCGGCATTCAGGCGAGTTTGTGCGACCGGGTAGCGGCCTCTTGATGGAGCGCTCCTTCTCGCACAAGTCTGACGGCCGACATAGCTCGGCGGGGCACAGCGTGCATTCACTGCATTCGGCGCCCTCGGTCGGACGTGCTAGCAGCGTCGGTGGAGATGCGGAGTCGCCCCTGAGCATACCTGAGCCGCCACCGGGGTTGTTTGCTCTGGGCTCCGTGCCCTCCATCATCCGTTGCTGGCTTACAACCAAGTTTGTCCATGACGCGCTGCTCTACGCCGACGTCTGCACCGGGTCCCGCCGGTCCACTGTGGAGCTTTCGCTCATCAGAGACCTAGACCTCCTCGGGGACGTAGAGACGGACTTCGATGGAACTGCCCGCATCACCCTGCCCGTGTACCTCGCGGAGGCCATTGTCTCGCAACAAGCGACTCGCTCGCAGAGCCCCTCGCACGAGATCCACATCCCCAGCATGACGGTGACGTTTGACATTATTGGCAAAGGACTCCCCGACTCGCCAGACATCAAGAAGGCAATTCGCATCTTCATCGGCAGCGACGCTCTAAGAGCCCATTCCGCCGATGTTTTGCTATCACGGAATCAGATTGTGCTCTACGGAGACGACAGGAGCAAACTGACCGTCCCATTTGTCCGGCCAGAGGACGAGAATGTGTTTAAGCACATCTGCACGGTCAACATTCACCCGGAGAAGTTGAGGCTTAATGCCGCCGCTGCGCCATTTATCTCGGGTGATCAAAAGGCGACTCCGCACGATGACGCGAGAAATATAGATGTACCCAACGCTGCGGGAGACTCGCGCAATGACGCCGACGCCGACGCCGACTTGAACCACCACCCCGCGTCCCCGCGTTGAGTGTGCCACCGACGATGGCGGCAAACCACAAGCTCGTCTCATCACTGCATAGGAACGGTGGCGACGGGCAAGAGGACGATGACGACGACGATGGTGAGGATGTCGACGACCTGGGTGCCGATGTCGATTCGGAGAAGGGCGCGGCTAAAAAGCTTAATGGAATGGATGTCAACGGGCGAGACGTGAGCACGGGCAACGGCAGTGATGCGCAGGCGAGTGACTCTCGGCGGGACACTGGTTCAGGCATCTGGGGATCCTGGCGACAGGGAGCAACCAACGGAAGCGAGGCTGGGCAGCGAGAAGGCGGGCCTTTGAGCGGATACCAGCCCGCGGGGACACGAGGCCGCAACATGAAGGTGCTCAAGCCGCTCAAGTCGAACTCATCGTCGGCTCGTACGGGTGCATCGTATGAACCCGCGCCGCCCCCGCGAAGCAGCGGTGAGCAGCGGCGTAAGAGTCAGCAGGGACCCTCGATATTGACGGGATCGGGCGACACGGGTGGAAGCGGCATCGGCAGCTCGGGCGGCAGCACGATTCGTTGGGAGACGAAACGAGCGGCCAGCATTGCGAGCTCAGGCGATGCCAAGTCGCCGGTAACACCGCTTGCTCAACCTGGACAGCAGTCACGGGATGCGCGGGGATCCCAAACCCTTCCGCGGTCGGCGAACCCTATCGGAGGAGCATCGGCGTTCTCGTGGATGAAGAAGCCCGGCACCGAGTAGGGTCCGCCCCCACCAACAGGGCAGTTGAACCAGGTCTCGAGGTGCCGGCGTGAAGATTAATGGGGTTTGAGGGTCAGCGCCCGGAATGGCAGCAGCCAAATTTTGTATTTTGTGTTGCCGAGTGTGCTTTCTCTCCTTTTTTATTCTTTTCTGCCCCCTCTTTTGGCGTTCTTCTTTTTCCCACCTTGTTTCTATTTCTCTGCCTTTCTCTACGACGTACCCCGATGGAGCCCACCATTGTCTCTCTGGAATTGGGAGGTATCGGTAGACCGGGCTTGGTTGAGAAGATAAGACGCTCCTGTTATGGACGCCGTCGCGGATCTTGCGGCTCGGGAATCACACGGGAGACGGAAGGGAAGCGAGAGATGGACGACTTGAGATAGAAGGGGAGCAGTGAGCTGAGGCGGGCTCGAAAGATTATAGACGTCTGGAAGAAATACTTTTTTTTGCTTCTTCTTTTTATGCATCCTGCTTGAGTTGCTTTGTTCCCCTCCTATTGAAGAGGGCGCTTAAGAGGGTGCCTTCCGTGTGCCCCAGTTCAGTTTCCGCCTCGATCTCAGATCTCTTTGAACCCCTGGTGCTTTTTGACTTGCTCTTCTGGGCCTTTTTATGTACTCGTGTCCCTTCCTCCTCAGTCCTTGTTCCTCTGGGTTAGGTGGTAGAGGGAACCGGGGGTCTCCATCTAGAAATCGTCGTTGTTTTCAAAACCGAAGTGTGAGGGGGAAAAACAAGGTTAAAAAAAGATTACGTACAAGGGGAGAAGCCTCAAGGTTTCATTCAGACCAAGCAGACTGTTGGTGGAGGATTATTTGGAACATGCAGCATTTTGAGCTATATAAAGATGTATATATGTATAAATCTATGTACAATGATGGGTTTCGAGAGCACATCACCATCCCCCTCGTGCACTTTCTCCTTTGCTTCCCCCTCTCGCTTCCGTTTCGGGGCGGGGTTACGGGGATTGGACTTGGCTTTCACCTTCTTCTGGGGCGTGTTGTGAGGTGCCTATCGGGGTCCTACTCGTCTCGTTCCACTCTTCAACTTGCTGTCCTATTATAGAGCATGATATCTCTCGGGGAGTTCCACCCATTCCTTCCCCTCGCATAGGGTCCGGTCCGTTTAGTACAAGGGCTCCGTTTTTTCCCCCACCGATCCGATCAGATCCTAGGAGTCAGAGCCTTGAGAGCAATCTTGGTATCCTCACCGGAGTCCTTGACGATCTTGATCACATCCTTGAAGGCGGGGATGGAAGCGTCGCCCATGACCTCGTAGATCCACGACTCGGTCGTGGTGACAGCGACGCCGGCGGCGGCGAGCCTGCGAAGAGCGACGGGGACCTCTTCGGGGTTACAAGAGCTCACGGCATCGGCGAGGACGTAGACGGCGTGGCCGGCGGCGAGGAGATCGAGGGCGGTCTGGGTGACGCAGATGTGGGACTCGATGCCGACGATGGCGACGGAGGAGCGGGGTTCGAGGGCGGCGGCGATGGCGGGGACGTACATGGAGAAGAGGGTCTTGTCGAGCGGGGGTTAGGGCCGAGTAAGGGTTCGAGGTCGGGGACGGTGGGGCCGAGGCGGGCGGCGTTTTGGGTGGTGGTGTGGATGGGGATGGCGAGGGGGTGGCCATGCGGAGGAGTTTCTTGGTGGAGAGGACGAGGGTGTCGAATTCGTGGATGGCGGGGCGGAATTTTTCTTGGATGTCGCAGACGCTGGGGGACGGACGGGTTAGTCTATGGCGAAGAGGCGCTTTTTTTATATTTTTTTAGGCTTACAAGATGACGGGCCGCTCTGTGGGAGGAAACGACATGTTAGTTGGGTTTGCTTTTTCTTTTTCTTTTCTTTTTGGACTCTTTTCGGGTGGGTGCGCCGGTCTTCAAGGAGTAGGCGCACACCGGATGGGGGGGCGGGGGAAGGGAAGAGGTTAGGGGGCTTGACGTACCGATGCGGCGGGTGGGAGCAGGGGCGGACATTGTGGAGGTGTAACGAGGTGAAACGGGGGCGGCGGAGACACGGAGGGAGACGCGGAGGGAGAAGCGAAGTGGAGTGGGCGAGGTCGGGGTCGGGAGGTCGGGAGACGGGGGTGGAAGAGCGGTCGAAGGCACGGGGCGGGAAGCGGGAGGCGGCGCGTGAGGGGACTGGAGGTGGAGGGCGGGCCAATGCGCATAGCCTTCAGTTAGTTGGTTGCTGGGATTTTGAAGGAGGAGTAAAGTAAAGGGGTTGGATTGGAGGGGTGGGTGGGTGGTGGTTTAAAGAAGGTGAGAGTGGAAAAAGAGTGAGAGAGTGACACAGAAGGTGGGGTGAGGAAGAAGCCGAGGAGGGGCAAAGGGGGCGGATTTGCGTGGTTCTTGGGGGAGTTTAGCTGGGAGCCGAAGATCACAACGGCGAGTCACCGAGCCGAGAGCCGCGGGTTGGGTTTTGCGGGGGACAGAAAGTTGGAAAGCCAGTGCCCAGGTAGGAATGGCGTGGGAAGCGGAGAAGGGGAGAGGCTAGCGGACAGGCCTGGAGAAGGAGAGAAGGAGAGAAGGAGAGAGCGAGAGAGAGACAGAGAGTGGGAGATTAGCGGACGAAAGGAGGTAAGGCGCGCGCACAGGAACAAGGGGAGAAGAGCACACGACAAAGTGCTCGTGAAGATTAGAACTACAGCGAGTTTGAAAATTCGAGGTGTCGCTGCTCTTTTGTTTTTTGTCTTCTGTTCTCATGCGCGGCCCAACGTCCCCCAAGCCCGAGGTGTGACGTGGGGTATGCAGCTTTCGTTCTTGGTGTCGTTGTGCTCGTGCATTTATTTACATTTGGACTTGTTCTCTATCTTACAGTCAAGGCGGTCACTGGATTTCTTTTCTTTCGTTTTTCCTTTTTCTTTTTCCCTTTTCCCCTTTTCCCTGGGCCATGTCTCACCGCGTTGCCTCTTGGTTGCTTGCGTGTGTTCCGATTCCGGGGATGCGGGAATTGCGGGGAGGGGAACGAGGAAAGAGCAAAGAGCACAGGCAAAGAGGGGTGCTCCCTCGCAGTGTAGAGACAGGGCAACACCATCCGAGGGGAAGAAGGGGAAAACGAGCCAGTGGGCAGCAGAGCTCAAGGCTAGACGCAATGTGGGGGCAATTCTAGGCGAGGGGCAGGGACAGCAAACCCCTTTCTCGGAATAGAAATCTGAAAAGAAAAAAGAAAAAAGAGAATGGGCACTGGCTGATTCTCCCCTGGTTGTTTCGTGATATTTTTACAGTCTTTCAATATCCCCTTGTTGGTAGGAAAGAGGTGGGGGTTGCTTCTCCAGCTTCACTAGTTTGCTCATCATTTGCTCATGTGCCACCAGAAAATAGATGCACTTTGTAGATCTGAAAAAGATTAGGACGAAGAAAAGGGCGGTGCCTGGAAAAGCCAAACCTTTTTTTGTTAGTGTCATGTACAAAGGTGCGGCTACGGGGCGAGAAAACGGAGGGACAACACAGAGCTGGGCAGTCGTAAACGAATCGGGACGCAGCAGATGGTCACCCGCAGGATTCCCGCCTGCATGTGCGACGGACTTTTTTCCTTTTTTTTTCTTCATGGCGACGGTGAGCTAGTTACGGGGATTTGCCCTGGTCCGGGCTGACTGTTGAGGTATTCCGGTGTGCATGGGGACGCGAAACGCAGGAGAGAAAAAGCGCGAGGCAGAGCGCGAGCAGACCGAGAAAAGAGCGAGTCAGAGCGCGAGCGCGGTGGGAACAAATGGATATCGACATCTCAGGTAAAGAGTATCAAGGGGAAGATGGAGAGAAGCTATTAGCACAGGTCTTGGCCTAAAGGTCTAGACCGCGCACTCTTACAGCGGGATCTGGGTTCGGATCCTGCTATAGTGTAAAAGATTGGATACGTGTCTTGCTTTTCTTCTCGGCTTTCTTTATACTTGCTTCTGTTTTGATTCTGTACCACTCATATAGCCCAAGGAAACTGCCGCTCCGAGTCTACCAACTATTTGTATATTCCCCCATCTTCTTCTTCTTCTTCTTCTTTTCCCCTACAGCATCTCCACCTTAGCTTTCTCGAGCCACACCATATCCCCCTTCACCGTTTCCCTCCGAATCTTGTACAACTCGTCAATAAGCGCCGGCACGTAACTCCCGGGCCCTTGCACATCCTCCCTCTCCGCCGCCCTCTCGCCCGCCACGCCAAACACCACGAGCGCCGCAACCGCAGCCACGAGCCGATCAGGTCCCGCGCTCCCTCCCGCACCGGACGCGCTCGCACCCGCCGCCGCCGCCGCCGCCGCCGCCGCAAAAGCGGAAATGGTGGTGCCGAGCACGCACCCGGTGCCCGTGACGCGACCCAGCATCTCGTGGCCGTTGGACACGGCCAAGGTACGTCGGCCGTCGGACACAACGTCGATCTTGCCCGTACACACGATGACGTTGCGCTCGCGGCGGGCGAGGGCGGATACGAGGGAGGCGCGCTCGGCGAGGGAAAGGGTGTGCGAGGAGTCGACGCCGCGCTGTTGTTGAGAAGACGAAGAGGAAGAAGAAGAGGCGGAGGAGCTGAGGAGTCGATGGCGAGGATCTCGCCTTCGTTGCCTTTGATGACGTCGAGGTAGCCGGCGGCCATGATGGAGCGGGCGGCGTTGCGGCGGACAGAGGTGGCTCCCGCGCTGGAAGGTGTGGTTATGGTGAGTGAGTTTGATTCTGCGTGGGATGTGGGGGCTTTGTTCTTCTTTTTTTTTTCGGAGAGTCTAGGGATCTTTCGTTTAAGAAAGGAGAAAAGAAAAATAAACTTACCCTACGGGATCAAAGACGATGGGCCCGCCGGCAAGGTTATACGCCCGGAGGGCCTTGGCGTAGTTTTCCAGCGCCTCGGGCGTGACGGTGCCCATGTTGACGACGAGGGCGCCGCCGAGCTTGGATAGGTCGGCTGCTTCTTCGCCGTAGTTGGCCATGATGGGCGAGGCGCCCACGGCGAGGGCGACGTTGGCGGCAAAGTTTTGCACGACCTAGCCCGAGTTAGCATTTCTCGCATGTTCCCTTCCCCGGGCTTTGCCTGTAGAGAAAGGGAAAGAGAGGGAGAGAGAAAGTCCCACGAAGAAGGAAGAAGGAAGAGAAAGAAAAAGACGTACCAAGTTGGTCATGTTATGCGAAAGAGGCGTGGTACTATCCACAGCCACCACCACCTCCCTCACCCGCGCCAACACGCTCTCGACATCCCGCGCCGCCCCCGCCCCCGCGCCGTCAAGCTCAGCCCGGCCCACAAACGCCGGCGGGCTCCGCACGAGCGCGAGCAAGCGACGGGCCTCGGCCTCGGGATCCTCGGCGGCGACGATGGCGCTCACGAGGGCGACGCCGTCGGCGGGCTTGCCGTCGGTGGCGGACTGGTAGAGCACGCGCTGGAGGTTGGTGGCGTTGAGGCCGCCGATGCACACGGTTTTGATGGCCGGGTGGGAGGTGGCGAGGGCGGAGAGGAGGGCGCGGAGGCCGGATACGCCGAGGACGTTTTTGGTATTGGTTTTTCTGTGGGAGGGGAAAAAGAAAGGGACACCGCCGACGGGGCGGACGGTGGCGGGAGTTGAGGTTAGTTTTTGAGGATTTGAACACGTTTGTTTGGGAAAGAGGATGAGATGGGGACCTGGGGGAGGAGTGAAGGGAGAGAGGGTTAGAGGTACGTACGTTGCGGTGGAAAAGACGGCGCCGATGCCGAGATAGTCGGCGCCCTGGTCGCAGGCGGTTTGGGCTTCCTCGAGGGTCGAGGCCGAGACGCCAATGATTTTGTCCTCGCCTAGTAGTTTTCTGGCGGTGGGCAAGTCTGGAGTTTGTCTCGGTTAGCCTTGATTTCCTCCAGCTATTCTACTCTGTACTAGCTAGAAGATTGTCACGGCTCAGGCCAAATTATACGGGAAACAGGCGTAGAGAAAAAGAACAAGGGGGAGGGCAAGTAACGGTATCCCCTCACGTACCCATGTCATCCTGTCCGATATGCACACCCTCGCACCCCACAGCCAGCGCGACGTCCACCCGGTCATTGATGAGCAAGGGCACGCCGTGGCGGGAGGTGATGGCGTGCAGGGCCCTGGCGGTGTCGACGAGCACGCGGGTGTCACTCGTCTTGTCGCGGTACTGCACGACGGTGACTCCACCCTGGACGGCGGCCTCGACGACGGAGACGAGGTCCCGGTTGCCGAGGATGGCCGGGGTGGAGTCCGTGACGAGGTAGAGGGAGTAGTCGACGACAGGTTTTCCCATCTTTGAGCGCGAGATTATGTAGTGTGTAGTGTGCAAGTTCTTTTTGGGGTTTTCTTTTCTTTTCTTACTCCTACAATGCAAGATGCTATTTTAAGAAAGGGCAAAAGGATGGAGTGGTTGCGTGCCGGATCTGCGGAGCGGAGACTTGATGATGAAAAAGCAGCTGCGTGGATTGTTGTGTGCTTGAAAGAGGAAAATTTTAGCGCCGAGAGCGGGGAAAGAGGACCACGCGGGGATTGCAATCATTCGGAGCTGCGCGGGCGGGTTTGTGTGGGGGCTAAAGGCTTGAGCTGGGGTTTATTGCCTCGTTGTTGGCAACAGCTCGGAGCTAGCGTGGAGGGATTCCGGTCTGAGAGAAGCCCCGGTGCGGTGCGGTCCGGGACGGCCGGGGCTGAGGATCGCGGGAGGTGGTGTTGTTGGGGGCTGGAACTCACGAGAAGACGTTGCTTTCCTTTCCTCTTCAATTTTTGAACTTGTCGTTTGGGCATGTATTTTCAGATACACATTTGCGTCTACAAGATGAAAGGGGAAATGGTAAGCCAAGCTCAAGTAGATACGAGGCCATACAGAGAGCGACAGACTGCACGTCATCGTCTGCAGCTCATGATGCACTCATGTTCATACCACATTGAATTCACCTTGAAGCCAAACAGGAAAACTGAAGCCAAAATGAAAGAATAGAATGGTTGTTAATATCTACATACAACAAACATGGACAAAAGAAAAACAAATTGTTTTCTTTTTTCATCCAACCTCGGCGAAGAGCGTACATTTCCTCGGAATGACACAATCCTTTCGTCCCTGACTCCCTAAACGCTTCCATTCAGAGAGACAGAGGCAAAACGGCAAATCACTCCCCCACCACATTGATCACGCACTACACGCTACTTCCAACCCCACCCCTAAGGCTCAACAGGCACCGCCGGAGTCTCCTCCTCCACCGGGGCCTCAGGCTCAGGCGCCGGCTCGGGCTCAGCCTCCGGCTCCGCAGCAGCGATATGAATCGTCGTGATCGAGCTCTGGCCCACGTTGGCCGTCACCGCGCCGTCCGCGCCCACCGTCACCTCGACCTCGGCGCACTTGCGCTGGTCGTCCGACGCCCACGCCGTCGCCTTGCCCGCGGGCGCGCCCTCGCCCGAGATCTTGACCGTGACGTCGCCGCCGCCGCCCTGCGAGATGAGCACCACGGCCACCGACCCGTCCTCGTTCTTGAACGCGGCGATGCGCGCCCCCGATCCGCCCGAGGTGCCGACGCGCACGGCGTTGGGTCGCACGAAGCGCGACCAGTTGGCAAAGGCCCAGAGGCGCGTGGCGACTTCGTAGTCGCCCGTCTGCTGGTCCACGCGGATGATTTTTTCCTAAAGCCAGGGGAGGAAGAAAGTGGTTAGCTCTTACTTGCACTTTTGAAGTACAAAAAAGATTTCAAGGTCGTCACTCACGTTGGTGTTGGGGTTGGGCCACTGCACGCCCTCCCAGTACAGATATCCTCCCGCATTATGGTTCATGATGGCGTCCATGATGTTGTTCGCCCACGTCAACCCCGCGCCCGCGCCGCCCCCGTCCACCCCGTCGACCACTGTCCGTTGAGGTCGCACTGCTCCGAGAACCACACGGGCGCCTGCGTGCTCAGCGTGCCCTGCGCCCCGCTGAGGTATGTGTGCGTGCTGAACGCCTTGAGCGCGCCCTCCTGACCCTGCGCCTTGATCGCGCTGATCATCGAGCTCGCGTGGTTCCACCCGCCCGCCTCGCAGCAGGTGATGCCGACCTGCGACGCTAGGCCTTCCTTTCGATGGTCGGCTGCAGCACCTTGATGAAGTTGGCCGCCGAGTTGCCGTCCCAGAGGGCGGAGGCGTACGAGGCACTGATGGCGAGGGAAAAAGAAAGGAATCAGTTAGCGAGGATGAAGGAAAAAGAAAAAAAAAAGAATAATGTGACGTACGAAAAGTCGGGCTCGTTCATGGGGCCGAGATGGGTAATGTTGACACCCTCCTGCGCGTAAAACTTGACGTATTGCACCAGGTAGTTGGCGTACGCCTGGTACCATTCCGTCTTGAGGTTTCCACCGTTGTTCTCGTTGTTGTTGCTCTATCACCACAAACCCCATCGATTAGCAACCATTCCAACTTTTGATGAACTTCCTCTCCTTTCTCTCTCTCTTCCTCGGTGGAAATTACCTTCATATAAAACGGCGGGCTCCACGCATTCCCGTACACATACTTGAGCCCATACTTTTCCTGCGCCGTCTTCGCCACCCACAGCTGCCCGCTATCCTTGCCGTCCCACTTATACGTCGGCTCCGCCGTCGGGCTGCCCGGGTTATCCGGCGCAAACGTGTTCATCCAGTCGCTGTCCGACGACAACGAGCTGCCGATGCCGTTACGCAGGATCGAGAACCCCGCCCCTTTTCCCGGCTGAACAGCAGCTCCATGAGCTCGTCGCGCTTCGTCTCGCTCGGGTTGTTGGTGATGAGGTTGGCCCGCTGGAACGCCAGCGAGAACCCGAACCCGTCCATCTTTGAAACGTCTGGCCCAGGTTCACCGTGATGTCGCCGCTGACCGCGCCGCCGCCGCCGCCGCCGGGGAAGCCGCCGAATTGCCGCTTGGCCCATTGTACGGGTCCTGCGGCCGCCGGCTGCGCTGCGAGCACGGCGAGGGAGATGTCGGTGAATCTCATCTTTTGTCTCTTGTTCTTCTTTTCCTTTTGGGGGTGGGGGAGATGGCGGCACAGAAAACCGGAATGGAGAGGGAGAAAAAGAAAGTGGGAGAAAAGAATGAACCCTTTTTCTTCGTCTCTCAAGGGAAGGGGAGGAGAAGAACTAAAGGGTTCGGCCAGTCCCTTGCAGCGCCTGACTTATATAAATAAAGTATCTCCAGCAATGGAGGAGATCTCAAGTGCGGGTGTCACTCTTCCTTCTCTCCATTTCGTCCCTTGTCCCTTCTCCGATTTGCTGCTCGGGGGTGGGCGTGATAATCTAGTACTATAGATAAACAAGCGAAGCCGAATATACCCATGGATCGATCCCATCCATTCCCGCCTTTCGCGAATGACCAGACGGGTATAGCAAACCTTGTAGCGGTTGTTTTCCCCCATTCTTTGTTTGCCACTGCTTCCTTCTTCCATTTCCCACTTCCTGGGCTCTTTCTAGCCTCTAGTAGTCTTGGTTTTTCTTATACTCAATTTATACTATAAGAACCGCCCGCAGAATACACCCACCCTCCTTTCTTATCCGGGGTATAAACAAGGGAAAAGAACGGGCACGCCTCTCCATCATATTTGTCGCCTGCACACCAAGAACCGGGGGAGGAGGCTAGTGCAGAGGCTCAATGGAAAAAGTCCAGAAAACGTTTAGAAAGACAAAGCATACAATCGCAGCCAGAGGGTAATGATGTGTGGAATTGCGCCAAGAGCCGCGGGGATATGGCAGAATGGGAGGGACATGGGGGAATGGAGGAGCACGGGAGGGGGTGAGTAGCACCCGATGCCCGTTTCCCGCCTGAGAAGAAACACGCGCTCGGGTTCCAGTTTTCGGCCTCGTTGACTGACAGGGCGGCTGAAAGGAAACCCACTCTCTTTTCTTTTCTTTTCTCATGTTTCTTTTGGCAAGCAGCTCTTCAATTGACCCTGGGTGAAGAGGGGCCAGGAAATGGATATACGCCTGAAAGAACGTGAGAAAGAGAAGAGAAGACTAGAAAGAAAAGAAGAACGTTCGGAAATCGCCCTCCCTTTGCTCATTCATCCATAGATCTAATGGGTGCGCACATATGCACCATTTATATCGCGACAAAACCTACATGTAACAAGGAAAGCGTGGCATTAGGGCCACCGACCGGCAGTCAAAGGGTTCGCGTCCTCTCCACTCTCCAATTCACGTCACGCAGAGCCTCCAACTCTGTGTCAATGCATCATCTCCGCTCTGTGGGATAGAAGACCAGTTTACACTGCTAGACACTTCTCGCCTCGCTCCCTCAATTGACTCAAAAGAGGCGTGCCACGGGCGGGGGCGACGACGCCGAAATTGGGGGCGGTCTTGGTCTGCTCCCAAGAAGCGGATAAATACAACAAGCACCTCAAGTCCTTTGATCCATTGAACTCGACAGAGCGGAGAGAGTCCGGCAAAGTCCAATTGTAATCGAATTGATCCATTACCCCATCATGTTCATGTTCCCCATCGAATCGTACATACAAGAGCAGAGAGCTAGCCGTGATAGGACATTCCACTTGCACCCATTCCAACCTCAAGGACACTTCTTCCCGGAGTGTACACCCCCTCCCTCCCCTCTAGATTCTTTAATTGAACCTCGAGTTACCCGTACGTGTAAATATATCCATATATATATATACAATCGCCCCCTTTTTGCCTTTTCCCCTTCACCGATGGATTTACCCACCCCGGCCAAGGACACGGAGAGGTGGAGAGGGGACCTAAAATTCTCCGTCATAGGACAAATCGCGTCCAAGTGTCCGTTTCCATTCTACCCATTGCTTGCTTTCGAGATCGGCCGTCCGACACGTCTTCGTCCGCATAAATTAGTAGGTGAAGCTTCACTTTCCACGTCTTGGCGCCATCTCTTTTCCCTTTTCTTCCCTTTTCCTCGACTCTCTTCACTTCTTGTAGCTAGGCCAAGAAGAGTGAACAAGATAATACTGCATGAGAAGGCCATCATAAGCAGCCGGGCCAGTACTTGGTAAAAGGCAATCTCGCAAAAATCTCGAGTCGGCACTCGGTAACGACAGATTTAGAGCTGCCTCTCCTTCTGTCCTCCCGCTTCCCTCGCGTCTTTTCCCTCCCTTTAGCCCAGCCGGGCCTGGCAAGGAACCTGGGAAAATTACCGTGGTGAAGAACAAAAGCCATCCACCCCATCCTCTCTCATATTTGCCGAGAACTCCCCCAACAAGGGGCGGGGACCTGAAAGGTAGTAAACCAGTAGCCGGGTTTTTTGTCTTGGCGCTGGGCTTCCATTTGCGTCGATTCCCCTGGTCTTCCCCGCGCCCGCTGTCCATCGGTCCAGCTTGAACCTGCGCCCCGTAGTATACATCCATGCATGGATCTCGCCCAATGGTTCTTTCTCCAAAAGAAAAGACCAACTTGCCCTAAATTGCAGAGGGAAAAAGGAGAACGTGCAGGTGATGGTGGATGGTATAAGTCAAAGTTCTTTTTGGCTTCCGCGCGACCGAGCAAGGGGTACTGGCAAGGGGGAGAGATGGGCAAACAAGACCATGGTGGGCTCACCTACTCTCCCCTTCCCTCTTGGGACAAGAAAGCGTCGGCATGTCGATGAGCCGAGTGTGGTGCTTCTACTTCGGTTCGGTTCATCAATCCCCATCGCTTCCCCGCTCCTGTGAATTGATTCCCTCGAGCCAGAGAGCGATGAGCGTGAGAGGCGCGCTGATTCCAGAAGAAAATAGGGGCAAGAGGATTTCTTTTCCCCGCTGTTACACCAAAACAGGAAAGAAAGAAGGAAAGAAAAAGAAGCGTTGAAAGAGAGGACAGGGAGACGGCCCTCCGCGCGCCCTACTCAAGGTTGAGCCGCATCTCCCGGGTGTCCCCAATCCCACATGGGCGTGGAGATGTCGTACGCCATTAAATCGACCTGCGTGAGGTTAAACTCGTCCAGGTTCGACATTTCCAAGTCCACGTCCACCAGCATCGGCCCCGCAATCATGGGCCGACTGTTGAGCATGTGCGGCCCTAGCGTCCGAGTGCCGCTCGCCTCTCCGGCTGCCTGTTGTTGGTGCTGTTGGTGTTGTTGTTGCTGCTGATGCTGCTGCTGCTGCTGTTGTTGTTGCTGTTGATGTAGTTGAGTATAGTGATTACATGTATGCTGCTGCTGATGAACGGGTTGTTGTTGATACGACGATTGTTCCTGCTGCTGCTGCTGCTGCTGCTGCTGTCCCTGCATCACCGCCTGCCGCGCCGCCGCATTCCTCGTCAGCTCCGTAAACAAAATCCCCTTGAAATGCAGCAGCGAACAGTGCAGCTTCTCAAACGGATCCACCATCTTCGGAATGAGCCGACGCGCCGTCATCTCCATGTGCCACTGGCTCTGGCTCCGGCGCTCAATGAGGCTCCGAATCTCCATCGACACCTTGTCCACGAAGCGCTCGAAATCGAGCTTCTCCAGCACGAAGCCCGCGTCCCACCCGGGCACCCGCAGGATCAGCAGCTTGAGCGACACCTGCGCCGCGAACACGAAGTCGGACGCGTTGAGCGCGATGAAGCGCGGCCGCGTCACGTCGTGCGACGCGAACCGGCACGCAAAGTACTCGTGCACCGAGTTCGTGCACCGCCATAGGAGCTCGAGACGTTCCGTGTGCGCTTCTAGCGAGGCGGAGGAAGACGAGGTCGATCCTAGGGAGGACAGCGTCGGTCCCGGTTGCGCTGTGGTTGCCGTAGCCGTCGTCCCACTACCTCCTCCTACTCCGGATCCGCCCGTCGTCGACCCTGCCGAGGCCGACATGGCATCCGTCACGGCAACCTCGTAGAGGAGGACTTGCGCTATCGCCGTCCGGCACACGATGGCCGGGTCTTCGCGGAGGTGCGGGGGTAAGCTCGCCTTGAACGCGTCCAGCTGCTCCTGGAACGACTGCACCACCATGATGAGGGGCAGCTGCATCGACGCTAGCGTGCTCTTGTTGTCAACGCCCACGGTAAAGGCAATGGTCTGCGCCAGCTTCTGGATCCGCACCAGGTTCACCAGGAGCTCGTCGCCGGGGTACTCTTTTTAGCCTCGAGAATACTGCAGCACGTATCGAGGTATGTCGTGTTCATGAGCGCGTCCGGAAGCTTTTCCGTCGTAAAGATTCTACCCAAATCATTGTTAGCGGTCAAACGAGAAAAAAGAATCGCTCCTAACGTTTATTTCCTCCACAACATGTGAAAATTCAAGGCAAAGGAAGAAGACGACTCACAATGAATTAATGTAATAGCACCCGCAAACGCCCTCATCCTCTCCAACGCCCGCGCGTCGTGCACGCCCCGTATCCTTGACGATGCGCAGCCCGATGCACAAGGACCGGCACAAGAACAGCATGTTGGTGAGCTGGAACCCGTTGATAGAGTAGTGCATCCACGCGATGACGAGCTGCAGGCTCATGAGCACGTCCAGGCTCTTGTCCGGCTGGATAAACGCCGCCCGGGAAATGTCCCCCAGCAGCTCCATCGCCATGGTGATTTGCCCCGTGCCGTCCAGCACCCGCTCAATCATCATGACGGCCTTCCACAGGAACGGCCGCCGCGTCCGGAGATCCTCCTCTCCCAGGTGCGGCGGAATCACCACGAACGGGTACAGCGCCGCCTTGTGGCCCTTGTACTTGGCGAGCATCGCCGCCGCCTCCTCTGGGTTCGGCCACAGGGACCGCGGCGCTTCTTCGTCCTCTTTTCCTCCTTCCCTTTCTTCCCCTTCGTCGCCATAGTCAAGATCGTCGTCGCGGTCGTGGTCCACATCGTCGTCGTCATCATCACCGTCTTCCTCCACCTCGACCCCGTCTCTCCAGGCTTCATCGTCTTCCTCGTCCTCGCCAAGCCCAAGCCCAAGCCTCCCACCCTCCCCTCCCTCTTCCCGGTCTAGCCCCGACCCTCCCCCGCCTCGCCGCCGCGACGCTGGCGTCGGCGCATCAAGCAACATGCTATCCGCGCCGGGCGTAGACGAATCCCCGCCGACGGGCTCGGCGTCGCCGGTCCCGCTGCCGCGGCGCGGGCCGCTCTGGCTTATCGAAACTCGGGAATAAGTGCCCATACGGGTAAGGGTGACGTCTAGGTGCCTTGCGGCCTGGCGTGGGCGGGGAATGGGAATGGCCCCGTCCGGCGTTGAGCTGCGACGTGAGCTCGTCCAGCCTCTTCTCGAGCTCGGCCACGCGTGTGGTTTTGGCCACCTTTTTCGCCCGTGGCGGCGCCGGGGTCTGATTCCCACATGACTTTTGTAACCTGTGACATCTGTAGAAGAGGGGGACGAGAGGAGAGAAGGTCAGATGTTAACATTTGTAAATCTTCCCATGCTTCAAAGGGGGTTTTATATGTGACATCGGGGATGGCTGCCATGGGGAAAGCTTCCACTTCACCTCTAGAAGAGGGCGAGAAGGGAAAAAAAAAAAGAGGACGAAAAGAAGATGAAAGAGTCACTTACCGTTCACACTTTTCTGATCCCTGAGGCCCAGGTATACATCTCGCCTTGGCCTTTGCGCACGTCAAACACGCCCTCGGTCCGCGGTTCTTGATCTCCAAGTCCGCCATTCTCAATGCAAGGTAAACAAACAAACAGAAAAAGAGGCAAGAGATATACAAATAGAGGACAGCCTTGGAACCCTTCTAGAAGTGAATTCAGATAGGGCTGGGTCAACTCCCCAAGAGCAAGAAATGTTTCTTTTTCAACACGCAGCTTTTGCGTGGGCTTTTATCGTGACAGACTTATACACAGTGTTTGGAGAGCAGGAGTGAATACAAGCAAACTCGACAGCAGGAGAAGGAATATGTTGTCACAAGGAAAGGTGCGTTTAAGGCGGGAACCCAGTTTTCTTCTTCTTTTTCTCTTTTCCCCGAACGCACAAGAGACTGTTGGCCAAGGAAACAAAGTGAAAATCAAAAAGGAGAAGGGAAAGAAAAAAAGAATTATGTCAAGAGAGGGTCAAAAGGTGATGAACACCACCAGTCGTGACTGAGGAACCAATCTCGACTCCAAAAAATAAGGAGCCGGGGTGGGTTCAGCAGAAACCTTATACCCGCAGCACCTTGCTCCAAATTCCTCAACCCTTTTCTCCGATATATGTACTTCGTAGCTTCAAAACAGCCAGCCACCAACGCACGCACTCCTTCCTTGAAAGGAGGGGGAAGGAAAGAAAGGGAACGCCTCCTTGGCGCAAGCTGGAACAGAGAGCTGGGTGGTGACGCGGACCCGACGAGAACCTAGTCCTGCATCAAAAACGCATCAGGCACGAGCGGAGCCCCCCTCGTGGCACTGGCATGGACATGTAAATAGGCCTAGAAAACAGGCTTGTGTGGGGTTACGCGGCGATCTCAGCTCAGCCCGGAGATTTGACGCGGTTCTTCTTCCAAAGCTGCGGCAGCTCAACGGGAGGCAGTAACGAAATGCGAGCAGATATAACAAAAGACCGGCAAACTGCGTAGAGATGGGGTACCTTGGTAGGTCGGTCGTTGATGGGAGGGAGGAAAGGAGTCGGAGTTGCTCCGTTCCTCCGTTGGAGCCGGACTACACAAATCAGTCCGATCTGACGCTAAAGGGGCCCAAGAGCGCGCAAAAACCACGCTTTTGTGTGGGTAAATCGACCTCACGTGCTTTTCCAGCCCACCACTCCGGCTCCGTTCGACAAGTCAAGGACTGCTTATGTCATACCAACACGATGCACGAGCGGCTCTGACCCGCAGCCAGACCTGTCATACCTGTCTACCCTTCTGCATGCTCACCGTTTAATCAAGGGAAATAACACTTGCACCGGCACCTTCGGATGCACCTTTGTTTGTCTTTTTTCTCCATCTCGCTCTTAATCGTTTAGATCCTTTTCCCGGCAGCCTAGTGAAGAAATCAAGATACGCAAGACCAAAATGCCGAGCTGCTCGTACTTCGTAGAAACCCCTCGCTTGGACTACTGGTTCAACATGTACTGTGCTGGCACATCCCGTAGTCCAACCACGCCCAAGTAGTATAGTAAAATCACCCACTACCTTCAAGAAAAAATCAAGACAAGTCAACGGAACAGGGCCCTCTTCCCGCAAGGCTCCCGGATCCGAACCGCGCCCACCAGTTTTCTCGGAGCTCGGAAGCGTGGCCTGGCCCGAATGTGACCCGGGAGCCACCGATAGGAACAGCGGTGGCCCAATCGGCTTACACGCTTTTCTCAGCCCCCAAGCCAACCAAACCGCACTTTGCTCATTCATGCCGCACCGCATGGTGCTCCGTGACACCGGCATGGGTTTGGGCTGGGCGCGCATCTACAAGTAGATCTCGGCAGCCTACCTGTATGACGTCGGTGACGCTCGTTGAGTCGGATAGGAGAACCCAGAAAACGTGGCATCACTTCGAGTCTAATCACAAATCACATAGGAAACATGGCGCAATGACAAGTCATTCCCTACAAAGAAAAAGAAAATGCGGTGGTTCTTTGTCGACCCAACGAAACCGGCAAGGCCAGGTCCGTTAGAGACGACAGAAGAAGAAAATATATTTATTTATTTCGATTCCGTTCATAGTTCCAAAGCGCGTCTCCATCCATAGAGTGGGAAAATAACCTCAGTGAAATCGACAAAAGACATTTTCCCAGATGGTGCCGTCTTCAACGAACCAAGGTTCAATTGCTAAGCAAGAGTAAAAATCCTAAAACAAAAACAGGCAGCAGATGGAATCATATCATTCCAAAAAATAGTATCCTAAAAAGTAACGATCTCGAATCGTCGGCGGGGCGGAAGAGACAAAGAATTTGCGTCTCTCCGATCCCCGCTCGCCAATCGAAATGGACGAAAGGTACGAGTTGGTTGACCAGCCGGCCAGAGTTTTCTCTGTTCTCAAGATGAAAACCGGGGTCAGATGGCCACATTGCGTGGAAACATCAAGCATAAAAGGAGTCTCAGTTAAAAAAGAGTGAGGGGCTAAGGTGTGTTTGGCCACTAAAACAGAGTCAGTCGTCGACAACCCAAGGCCCTCCCTTCCTTCACGTTACTCCGCAGAAGGGGGATGGAGGGGAAGAAGTCAATTTCTCCTTCCCCGCCTCCCGCCGCTTCTTTTAAGCCGAAGACGTGGAGGAAGCAGCCTTGGTGCTAGCCTCCTTCTGGAGGATCGCGTCGACAACCTCTCCGGGCCCCTTGCCCTCCTCTTTGAGCTCCCTGCTCACTTCCTCGATACCGAGTTGTTGTTCGGTCCAGAGGCTCGACCGCCGAGCCCTCTTCGCCGACGCCGATGAAGCCGCCCTCGGCCGCCCAGTCCGAGGTGCGCTTAATACCGAGACGGGTCCAGAGCTCGTCAATCGCGCGTACGAGGTGGTCGCGAAGCTCCTTGGTGTGGCCCGGGGTGGGGTTACGCGAAGGCGTTCCTGGCCGACGGGGACGGTGGGGTAGTTGATGGACTGGACGTAAATGTTGTAGTCCTCGAGGAGCATATCGGAGGCACGCTTGGCGAGTTCGGCGTCACCGACAAGAATGGGGATGATGTGCGAAGGGTTGGGAATCACGGGGATGTCGCGGGCGTCGAGAGCATCCTTGACGGCGCGGGTATGCAGCTGCTGCAGTCGGCGGTCGCCGGCATGGTTCATTTGGTATTCGATGGAGGCGGTCGCGCCAGCCATGGTGGCGGGGAAGGGAAGTAGTGAAGATGAAACCGGGAGCGAGGGAGCGGATCATGTCGACAAACTTGTTGCTGCCGGCAATGTAGCCGCCCACGCAGCCGTAGGCCTTGCCCAAGGTACCGGTGATGATGTCGATGCGGTCCATGATGGTGCCCTGCCACTGGCCGCGCTTGTGGGCTTCAAAGTCGAGGTGCTCGGCGACACCGGCACCGTTCGGGCCGTACATGCCCACGGCATGGACTTCATCGAGAAAGGTGATGGCGCCGTACTTGTCGGCCAGGTCGCATATAGCCTCGATCGGACCAATGGAGCCGCACATGCTGTAGACGGACTCAAAGGCAATAATCTTGGGCACGTGCAGGGGCAGCGCGGCCAACTTGGCCTCGAGGTCCTGCACGTCGTTGTGCTTGAAGACAATCTTCTTGGTGCCCGAGTGGCGAATGCCCTGAATCATGGAGGCGTGGTTCAGGCTGTCGGAGAGGATGACGCAATCGGGCAGCTTGCTGCCGAGGGTCGCGAGGGTCGCGTCGTTAGCGACGTAGCACGAGCTAAAGACGAGAGCGGCCTCCTTGGAGTGGAGGCGGGCGAGGGTGGACTCGAGTTCGACGGCGTGTCTGTTGTGACCCGAGATGTTGCGGGTACCACCGGCACCGGCGCCGTACTCCTCGAGGGTCTCGTGCATCTTGTTCAGGACTTGGGGTTGCGACCCATGCCCAGGTAGTCGTTGGCGCACCAAACCGTCACGCGCTCCTCCTTGCTCGCCATGTGGGCGCGGGGAACTCCTTGGCCAGGCGGTTGATGTTGTTGAAGTAGCGGTATGACTTGTCCTTGTGCTTCTTGTCCAACTCGGTCGTGTAAAACGCCTCGTAGTTGAAGCGACCGGCCTTTGCGGAGCCGTCGGTCGGAGCCGGGGCGGCCCCGGGGGCAGCGTACATGCTCGGTGGGGTTGGACTGTAAAAAACGGATTGGCCGGCGTTAGCCCCTTAATTCAAATCAATTCAACTCGACTGACCCGCTTGCTTTCCCAGCCAAGGGTTCTGCAGAAACTGCGTCACCCCTGCCTCATCTGAGCCACGAAGGAGAAGAAACAAAAAATGACTTACCCTGAGTACGACCAAGCAGAGAGTCCTCGAGACGGGCACCCTCGGGACGGCTAGTATGAATACCAGCGCGACCAGCCTTGGAGGCAGAGTTGAAGGCCCGAAGACCGGCAACAGCAGACCTCTTAGGCATGTCGGCGCGGCCGTAGTGGGCGGAGCGCACGGCAATGGCCTTGCCCATAATGGGGCAGCGGTTGGCGTACAGCTGTAGCTTGGACATGGTACCGCCGCAGGGCGAGGAGGCAGCGGTGGCGGCGGCCTGGGGTCGGACAACGGTCGACAGGGCCCTCAGGGTCGCGGGAGACGACTTCTTGAGGAAGGGCACACGGCCTTGGACTGCCGCAAGACGGAATCCATGGCGATTGCAAAAGGATCGTGGAGAATCGTGGCTTGGAGATTCGGCGAGAGAGTTGTGGGGGTGATAAAAAATCAGTTAAAGGAAGGAGTGGTTCGATTGTCTGGTGTCTTGGGCTTCCGCGCGACGTTGAAATTGTTTTTCGACAAGTGTCCCAATGAGTTGGTTGCCGGGAGGTGGGAGGGAAAAAAGTGAGAAGTGAGGAGGAGGGGTGACAGGAAGAAAAGAACAAAAAAGAAGCAAGAAGCAGGGGAGGATGGAAAGGGCCCGGCTAAGGAGGGGGTAAGTTAGAAGAGCTGTGTGGACTGCCGAGGGAATCGACACCCTAACACTAACTAACAATTGGGAGTTGCGAAGAGCGGGAAAGACGGGAACGAGGACACGGGAGCACGGAAAACGGACAAAAGAAGTTTGAGGATGAGAGGGGAGAGAGGAGGGATAAAAGAAGAAGAAGAAGAAGAAAAATAATTTCTTCACCCAGAGGAATAAAGAAAAAAAGCTAAAAGGAACACGAGAGGAAAATTCGAGAAGGGTTTCTCCGAGTTGGAGTGAGTAACAACGCCGCACATCCCAAAAGAAGGCGCCAATTCCGAATAGGGCGCCCCAGACTTGATGACAAGTAGGAAATTCTAATGGCCACTAACACACCAAACAGAGAAGGCCAGACTGGACGGCGCGGCAGGTAGTTTCAGAAAAAGCGGCGAATTCCAACAAAAACCAGCCAAATCGTCCGATTCGGCAATGGCCTTTCCCACTGCCACGAGCCAATAGGCGAATGAGCGAATGGGCAAAAACCCACCAAAGGCTGCGCCAGGGCCCTCCTTCCCCCGCCCTCAATTGCTAGGCTCCTTCCTTCCTATTTGTGGGTAACCCTCGAATATTACCCAGACTCGGCATGCACGCATCTATTCTTTGCTCGAGGAAACCGCGTTGGACCATTGACCACTCTGCCAATTCGTCTTTGTAATCCCTTCTCCCTGTATCCTCTGAAGGAAAAAAGCAACAAGTAAAGGGTCGCCCTAGACCGCCTTTCCCAGCCCGGCCCCTCTACGCCCCCTTTTCCTGCCGATTAAGCCGTCATCCCCGGAAACGAGAAGCGAGGAAGAGAAAGCGTGGGGAGGGGCAGCCGTGGCCGCTTCCTGGCATCGGAAACCCCGCCCTCTCCGGTCCTCGCCCATCTTTTGCTTCTTGGTCCATTGATCAATCAAGGCACCGGGGATATCTATTTTTCTGCCTATACCCGCCAAGCCGTGGGGTCGGTCTCGCTTGCGGTGTACGCAGTTGCAGCGAAGATACATGACGGGGTCGAATGCGAATAATTACAACGATCCACCACGAATTGATCCGTGACCCAACCCTCCGGATCGGAACATGGCTCCATGGCTGACCCACAGCCGGTACAACCATGCACCGCTGACGAGCAAACGAGACACCCATGTGTCGTGTACTCGCTGTACCTTTTTGACCACGGCGCCACAGCCCACACTAGCAGAGAAAGAAAAAGGAAAAAAGAAGAAAAAAGTGACGCTCGCTTGAAGCGGAAATCTCGTCTTTGGGTCCCATAGTGGGGAAAAGGAGGGGCAACTTTTCCAACCAGTCGCCTAATTCCCAATCGTCAGCAGATCCCGAGGGCCAATAACTTGCGCTGAACAGACGCAGACGAAGGAAAGAGCAAATTATTACACAGTTCATCCTGAGCAAAATAGATCCGCCTTGACTCGTTCAATAATTACTCATATATTGCCTAGTCCTTTTTGTATTCCAGGGACATCGCCAGCACCAGGCCAGACTTCAAAAGCCGAAGACGGCCTCAGTCGATCCCCCACCCCCACATTGATTTCTATGTTCCTCCCAGTTTGCGACTGGCATCACTAATCCAGGGCCCGCGTTAACTCAACCTCACACTTGTGCCAATTGAACCATGGTGGGGTGTGCCCTTCCTCCAACATTTGCACCAACATGTATTTTTGGGGCGGGAAAGGGCAATCCCCTTTCCTAGGAGAGCCGTATGTACTCGTAGTCGATTTAGTGACTAAATCCCAGCCAGAGCTTTGCGCCCCGACCCCTTTCTCCCGCTATTCGGGATCTCTCGGTCTCGGAGAACCTCGATCCCTGCTCTTTCCTTCCCCCTTCCCTGTCTTTGCAGCATAGTTATTACTTGTCCAACCATTAGTGGAGCGGACAAACATCAGAATGGCGTGTGGGAAGAGGGAATGGGGAGGCGGCACATGGCCTCTTACCGGAGCGAGCTGTCAACGGAACCCCCGTCGATGTGGCCGCCTGTCGTCCCAACAATGGATACTATAGTTCCCCCAACGAGCCTTGCAACCCAGCTTGAATACGGCTCCGGAAAACCCTCGGGGTCTCCTTTGCCACCAAATCCACTAGACTACTTTTTTCCCCTCAACCTTTGACATGTACCCACCCACTGCATGTGACTAAGCTGTGACCGCTAGTGACAACCCATAATACTCCATCCCTTGCCACAGCAAGCCCAAAATACTCAGCCTGTGTGGGGAAATTGGCCTGCCCCGACCTCTCTCGGCCGGGCGAGGCTCGGTTCCGTACACTATCGGACTTCAATATCTGTGTTTCTCGTGTCACTCAGTCACCCGGCGGTTTTCAAGGCGGCTGTGGCCGTTCCGGCATTTGACCTTGCTCCTGGCGATAGTTATTTTTATAAAGAAAAGAGAATCAGATATATTCCTAGATCTCTGAATTTGAAAAGAGAAATAACCGGCGCTAGAAGCTATGTAAAGGCCTGAGAAGGGCGCATATACGGGGTATCACAATGATGAAAAAATTGAAAAAGAAATGAAAAAACCCCCATTTCCTCCCCAAGACCGGCGCAACGGCAAACGAGATCCCAAAAGAAACAAAAGTAAAAAGACGAAAGGGGCTCGCGGCGGGACCACCTCTCACAGGAGATGCTTGTTAGATCGGTGGCAATTGTGAGGTCTTGAAACCGGGAACCAGAAAAGTGCGGGATGAAGAGAGAGATAGATATGAGAGGAAAGAGAAGGTGAGTCGGAGGGGCAGAGGGAGAGGGGTGAAGTCACTATCAGGGAAAAGACCGCGTGGAGCCTCGTCACGGATTAGGTCTCGCCGGCAGCCGGGATGGCGTGTAGGTCGTCGGAGTCGGAGCCGAGCTTACGCGGTTCCGCGGCGTATCGCCATTGTATCGTATCGCATCGCTGGCCCACCGGGGTAGAGGGATTTCTCATACTGCCGCGCATATCGCTCTTGCGGCCTCGGCTGCTGCTGCGACGGATGCTGTTGAAGTGGGGGCGGCTGGAACCGCCTTTTGCGTCTATCCGCAATCTCTCTCAACGCAATCTCGTCTTCCTTCTGCTTTGGGCTGCGGTACCGGGGTAAAGCTCCGTCTCGGAGATGGTCGCGGTTTCGGTGGGTGAGGAACTCCGATAAATGCTAATAGATTGGAAAAAGGCCTCGTTTAGTAATATTACAGAGCACTTGGGGCTGGGGCATGGGAAGAAAAGAGTCCTGGAGGGGGTTGGGGATGGCCACGGCTAGCCGCAGAGTGTGGGGGATATTGAAGCCTCAAGGCTGAGCAAGGATATAAGTAGGGAAAGGGAGCGAGGGCGTAATGATGATAGTACCAAGTGGGCAGGCACATGGGCTCAACATATGTAGCATGCACATGTTTTTGTGGGTAGCACAGCACATAGGGGGAGAAAAAGAGAAAAAGAAAGACTGGGTTGCTAAGAGTGCGTAAAGAAACAGGAAGGCGTGCGACAAGTAGAGAATACTAATCCTACGGATCGACGCCTCGAGATCACTAATCTTTGGAGTGTGTTTGTTGAAAAGACACACATGAGGCAAGAGGTTGAAGGAGGGTAAGGTGCAAAGTGACAGGCGAAAGAAAGCAAAAGGGGAAGGGGTAAGTAAAGCAAAAGCAAAGGCAAAGGCGCGTTGGGGAGCTTGCGTGTCTATCACTAAAATCGCCACGCAGGCCCTCACATGGGAGAATGATGGCCTTGTCCCAAGTGGGCGCTCAAGCTTGGAGCCTCAAGGGGTTTGAGTAGCAGGGTGGCTTACGTTTGGATCCCGAAGCCTGGCGGCAGGTGCGGGGTGCGCTTCCGGCTGGTGAGGGGGAGCAAGCGGCCGCTGCAAGGGGCCTGGCCAACCTGGGCGGGCTGGCGCTCTGCGTTTACCTGGGGAGCTGGAAGGACCGGGTAGGGTCGTATCAAGTTGTCCATGGGTGCAAGGGGCGAGAGCGGCGAATCGATGGCGGAAGCAATAGCTGCTTCAAGAAACTGGGCTGATGCGTCGAAGAAAATGTGAGGCTCGATCAAGGCGCGGAGGAAAGCAGTCAGCACCCGCGGCTCACTCAATCGAATCACAGCATCTGTGAGTCTTTCATAGGCGCGGGGCAGGTTCTCCACGGTAATCGCTTCAGATAGCCAGTACGCCATAGTTCCGGGTGCTCCGCTCATGAGAGACTCGGTAATGGGCGCGAAAGATTCCCATGGAACCCTCCCCATGTATTGCTTAAAAGTGGGGACCAGCTAGAAGTCCACAGGAATCAAGAGTTAGCCAACAAGTCTCGTGGCCATACACGCTTGTCTATCCAGTAGTCAGGGGTGACCGCCGACAGCAGAGAACTCACATAGTAAAACCAAACCGACCACCTAACCAGTGGCAGTAAGATGGGTGATGTCATGGGAACTCGGCGCAGCAGGTAAGCCGGAGGCGTGCAAAGAATGGGTTCTCGGAAGAAAAGCATTCCTTGGCTACCAGGCGGGTGAGGGGAGGGAACAGGTTGCCCAAGGAATAGAAGGCCCTGGATGTCAGCTTGAAGCCTGGGGTACATGGCGAGCATTTCTTGGGAAATCCTGCGCCGGGCCATCGGGAACGAAACTCCATGTCAACCCAGGAGCGAGAAAAAGGGTACGCTCCGGGTGTGCCAGGTGACCCTGCATCAGGGACAAGTGTTGCGTTTGCATGCTCCACTAGCCATGTGTATCCCGACTGCATGCCAGATGCGGTGGCGGTGGTAGTCTGGGCGGTGTGCCGCCGAGCCAGCGGCCGTCCTCCGCTCTCCACCACACCCTTATCGTTATTCCCATTCATCCGGACCGGCGCTTCAGAGAGGGGTCTTCCTCTTCAAAGACATCTGAAGTGATGACAGTGAGAATTTGCGAGCTAGTCTCTTGATCGCCCAACAAGCGATCCATGATTCGATCTTTGCCAGCAATCGCCTTCGCCTCCGACTTTGGAACAGTCAGGCGCACGGAGACGGTCCTCTCTTCTCCATCTTCGGTCCTGATCCGAATATCGACCTCGCCATCCAGATCCCAGAGCGGCCGGATCCATGACGCGCTTTCGTCCTGAGACCACGACTGGATGTTGTGTCTGTTGTCGACAACGCGATGCGCTAGCTGGTTCTTGAAGACGGACCGATTGTGGATTTTCCACTCATGAGCACCCCACATGACGAACCAGTAGACAAAAACCGGCTTGGTTTGTCCAATGCGGTAGGCTCGTCCGATTGCCTGTTGCTCCCATACGGGATTGTGCTCGTAATCGAGAATAACCACCCTGTTGGCGCCGTAGATGTTGAGGCCAACTCCACCCGCCTTTGTGGATATCAGAAAAAGGTCTACCTCCTTATTAGAATTGAAGTCTTTGATCATGGGAAGACGGTCCTTCATTGGAGTGGTCCCGTCGAGCCGCGACCAGCGTCGCCCTCGCTGCCGTAGATACATTTCAAGCAGGGTCAAGGCTCTAATCCGCCGGGAGAAGATGATGGTCTTCTCCCCAGCGGCACGGGCCTCCTCAAGAATGACCATCAGGTGCTTGAAGCGCCAAGAGTGATCGATGCTAGACAGATCGTCTTCTGTCGACGCGAGGTCAATCATCGCCTGGGCAATATTTCGCGTCATGACGGGCCTTCGCTCACGAATATCGGCATTCTGATCCCGAATAACACGAGAAGAGCCCTCAGCCTCCTCATTATCGGACCCCGGGTCACTATTACCGTCGGTACCATTGAGAACGGCTTTGGCCTTGTCGATGAAGCATTGCGGATGGGCGCATATTAACGCGAGGTAGCTGATGGCGCCCCAAGTGTCACGCTGGGTGTCCAGCATGGACGTAAAGGCGTCGTAAAGCAATCGCTGCAAGTCGGTTGGGGGAATAAACATGACAAACTCCTTCTTCTCTGGCAGCTCGCCCCTCAGGACACTCATATCCATGCGGTGGACCTTGGGCGCTATCTCTGTGCTAAGCTTCTTGAGAGCCGCACGGGCGGCCCACTTCTCCTCTGGCGAGGAATTTCTCCAGAGGCCCTTCTGGATCACAGTGGTGTATCGCACCTCAAACTCCTTGTATCCACCCAAGTAATTGGGGGCTACCCAATCAATCATGGAGAAGTACTCGCGAACGTTGTTGGCCAGGGGCGAGCCGGTAAGGGCAATCCGTGCCCGCGTTTTGAAAGGGACGCACGCCTTCCGCATCTGGGTCGTAAGGGTCTTGATGTTGTGCGCCTCATCGGCGACAACGATGGCGGCGCTCTGGTGGATGAGACCAATGAGAGATGGGTGGGCGGTGAAAAGTCGGGCTAGAAGAGTGTAGCCGATAATGAGAACACCGCCCCCAAAGCTCCACTTTTCCACCGTACTCTCGCGAAGCATGCGCGTGTCCATGTGCGACATGGTTGTGCCACCGAGGATGTATATATCACCAAGCGCCTTCTCGCTATCCCAAAGCAGGATCTCGTCTCGCCAGTTCAAAGCAAGCGAAGAGGGGCAGACAACGACGGTCCGCGACGCGCGAAGGTCTTCCGGAATCTGGGAGCGGACGGATGGATCGCTAGAGTTGGCGGCGTCGAGTATGGAGAGAAGAAGAGAGATGACTTGCATGGTCTTGCCCAAGCCCATGGTGTGGGCCAGGAGACACCCGTGGCGCTGCTCGGGAGGCACAACAATCTGGTTCCACAGGAATCTGACACCTTCCACCTGATGGTTCTTGATGTGCGACGCCGGAACCCCGCCAATGTGGATGAATCCATCGCTCTCCTCCTTCGACTCGTTGATGATGAGACGAGACCGATCACCGACAACGGGCACATCAGAGGCGAGTTTTCGGCGAAGCTCGTGGCGCCGTTCTTCAATTTTATCCCGGCGCTCCTGCTCCATTTGGCGTACGCGCATAGCCTGCGCATCCATTGCCACTTGAATGCGCCCGCCTAATTCATCAACGGCCATGATCTTGGGAAAGCGGGGGACGACCTGCACAATAAGATTGATGAAGGCTCCGAGTCTATGTCTTTGTGCCTCGACCTTCTCAGGGTGTTGGCGCGCGGCCGTAAGCTCGGCGATCCGGAATGGGCCAACCTCGTACCAGCTTATGAAGAGTCTCGTGATAAGCGCGGAAAGAGTCTTTAACTTCGTATCAGGCTTGAGGCCACGCAGGATATACTTCTCCCAAAAGAATCTAGGTTGGCTGCATCCCCTTGCGAGACTTCCAACACCTTTCCCTGTGTCTCGGGATTCAGGGACCAAATACGTTCAATCAAGTACTTGTCCATCACAGAAACAGTCATGAGGGTCCTCACCTGCAGCCAAAACTCATCGGATAAGGAGGTTGCCTTATTCCGAGCCTTGCTCGTGTCGTCCAGTTTCGAATCCGACTTCTCGGAGATAGCAGAGTCACTCCGCGTGCTCAACGCCAACGGCGATGTTGGGACACTTTCCGCGCTGTCGAGAGTCAGGTCGATCACAGTTGGAGGGGGTTCTCCGCCATCTTCTTCTGTGGCAATTCTTTCTTGACCAAGGCCGGGGTCAAGTTGTTGACGACTTCATCTTCGTCGGAATCCGTATCGAGATCCATGGGAGTATGGCTTGAGCTCGCTGCCCGCCGGTGTTCATCGCCAATCACTATTTGGGCGGTTGAAATCTGCATCCTGGTCGTAGCGTCCTTGACATCTCGTTCGCGCATTCCGTTTCGACGAGTCATCCAAGGAACACTCGCTGGTACCGGCTCATCGTCGTCGCTGGTCAATTCTTCCTCAAGAGGGTCAAGAGAGGCAGAACGCTCTCGTCTACGTCGGATCGGCTTAGCAGGCCGAATAAGATTCGGCTTCTGCGGCGGCTCTCCGCTGCTGAAGAGCTTAATGCGAAAGGCAACTTCTTGCTTATCCTCGATCGTCTGCTCTAGGCAAGCACCTTGCTGGCGGACCCTGCGCTCTGAAGTCCATGTGTAGTCCAGAATCGTCTCACGTAATTTGGCCAAACGGACCTCGAGGCCGCGAAGCTTTTCATGGGCAGCGTTGAGGCGGATAGAAGACCCGACCCTGCGCGCCTCCATCCACAAAGAGTAAGCCTTTGTCTGAAGACGGGGAGTTTTCGCTCCTGCCATGCCTCGATAGTGTCAGCTACGACTTCATCCAAAACCCTGTTCACGACATCCTGGCTGAGGGTCAACGTAGCGGCCTGCTGCTTCATACGGGCCATTTCCTCTTCCTCCTCCTCAATCTCACGTAGGGTTTGCGGGTCAAACTGCTCGTCGTCGTCATCTTCCAAAGAACCAAAGAGTTCCTCGTCTGCCAGGTGAGAAGAGCCGTATTCCTTGGAGTGGACACGACGCAGTTGATTTGCGAGGAAAGAGTCGGGTTCCGGGGCCGTGTCGAATTTATTGGTAAGAAGATGGCCGATACGCGAGTATTGACGGAGAAGTAAGGCGCGCATTCCTCTATTCACATGCAAAGAGCGTCCGGGAGCACGCTCTGTCTCCAAAACTTGAAAGGTGCGTTCAGGACTGTCATCGCTATCCGATTCAGAGAAGCCGGGGTCCAGCGCTTCGGTCCACGGCGACTTTGTAATGCCTAAAAAGCCAACAACCGCACCGGTCGAAAGAGTCATGAGTCCGTCATTGGGCTTCATGGGCTCCAGAGGGCGAGTAATGATATCCGCTTCGGTCGGAACAGAAAACGCACTTCTAGAAGGTAAAAGAAAGGCAGGCACTGCCGTTAGCTGGGCCGGTGCAAGCCTCTTCTTCTTCTTCTTCTTCTTCTCCTTGCCCTTCTTCTTCTTCGGCGGCAGCGGCTCCTCGCTCTCGGGGAGTGCAAGAAAAACGCAGTCTTCACCATCAGACATGCTGATATCTTCGAAACGGCGCTTCGCGGCCTGATGCTTCAGTTCCTGGGCCGCGGGATTGGCCACAGAATTGGTCACAGACTTGGATACAGGCTCGGCGGCCGCAGGCTTGGCCGGGATATTCGCAGTAGACTCAGGGAGAGGCCCCGGACCAGCAGAGGGGAGTGGCCGGCTCGCAGAGGCTTCCCATCTTTGGAAGGCAACACTGCGCCCTTTCAAAAACTTGATGGCCGTGTGCAGCCTGTTGCTTTTCTGATGGCTATCGGCGCCGAGGTCTCTCAAAAGATCACGAAGGGGTTGGCCGGTGCCGGTAAGAAGCAGCTCCCCATCTACGTCATGCTTCTCCAAGTTCTTGGAGAGGACCTCGAACGAAACGAATCTCTCTGGCTTGTCTCTGGGGTACCAGGGCTGCTCAGTAGAACAAAGCTCCTGCGCAAGTCGTTGGGGGCCCCAGAGCCAGGGGTCATCGCCATCCTCACCCATCGAGCCAACTATTGAGATGACTCGATCAACCAAGGGATATGTCAATTAACCTACAAAATCGATGAGTATACATGGAGTCTATAAGGACCTCGACAACAAAAGAGTTGCAGGCAGGGATCAGGATGGGAAAGGGGGAGGTGGAAGCATAGAAAGGGGGTTATAGAAGAAAGAAAGAAAAAAGAAATACCTTGGACCCTATTATCAAGACTTGACTACCTTTGATGGAAGAGCTGATGTTGCAAGACTTCTCTTTGACTCTCTTTGACTGAAGGATGTCAGAGATCTGGGATGAAAGGGAGATGAATGATTAAGGAGGATGAAGGTGAAGGGGAAAAAGGTGAAAAAAGTGTGACCTGGGAAAAGAGAGCAGGGCTGAATAAATAAAAACCTAGTGAATAGGATTTGACTTATGTAAAGTAGAGACGCGATGCAGAAAACGTAGAAGAGGAAGGTGCGAACGACTTGACTTACAAAATCGTGTATAACTAAACATGTATGCGATCATCGAGGCGAGAATGGTGCGGCGGTATCAACCTTTCCGGTGTTGTCGCCAGTATATAGAAAGTAGTAGTGGCTGAAATGGCGAGGACTTCTCCGAGTGAAGAGAGGGTGAGATACTAAAAATTATCAAGAGAAGTAGAAGATGAGAGCCACGGAAACCAAGTAGGACCAGAGTATTAAAGTAAAATCTATGATAATGGAGATTCTCGACAGTGCTTGGCGTGACGATGAGAGAAAAGAAAGATGTCGAGATGCGCTAAGACGCGCGCATGAGGAGCGTGGTCACGTGTTTGAGCTTGATGGCGGTCCTCAATCCCCCACGACGAGATCCTGGACTGGCTACTTCAGCTCTGCCAGGTTTATCAGGGAAGGAAAGGTCAATGGATCAATCAATGCTTCTCCAAGGGTAGAGCAATTGGAGAAGGGCAGAGGAAACCAGAAACTGGGAAACTGGGGAAAAAGAAAGAAGAGAAAAAAACAAGAGCAAAAAGAAATACATGAGGAAGTCGAAGGGTTCTACAGGTTGTGGGAATGCGTTATCTGAAACGAGTTGACGCTGTTTCCTTGCCGGCAAACAAACTGTCCTTTTACTGAAGAGAACAACCAACCATTAAGTTCGATCTCTTGGGTGACAACACTTTAGGTTGTCTTCGAGTCACAAGGACAGAACCAGCTTACATTCCCAAGCAGACATTGATTTAAGGATGTACGCATGCGCACGCATGGCCCCTGTATTCATCCAGAGCAAATTTACCCATTTTCCATTCCCACCATTCCATGCTTCTTCGCCTTTTTCCAGTTTCATCGGCGGAGATATGGATCCTATACACTAAGCGTGCTATTGAATGGAAAAGGCCAAAGCTTGCTCGCCCGAAATGGGTCGGCAGTGGGCCGGCGTCAAAAGAAAAAGGAAAAAAGTCTTTCCAATCCATCATCGCAATTGACGCCCCGCTTCACGCTATTGCTAATCAACTGTACATAAGCTAAAGGGTGGCGGCTTTATAATCACTCGAAGCACCAGGTCTCTTAATAGTCGGCCGACTTCGCGATCTACTCGCTTTGACGGGCTTTACTCTTTCTGTAAGCAGGAGAATAGAACAAAAAAGAAAAGAAGAAGAAAAAAGCACCAATTCCCCTCATAATCCCCGTGATCCCGAATAGGTGCCGTTTCCGAGAAATCCGCCCGGATCCATAGACCGAGTTAATCGCATCAAGCGCATACCGTGATCTCTGCACTCTTTGGAATTCGAGGGGAGGGAATTTTATTTATATTCTTAGACCCCTCATACCAGACCAGAACCGAACCCACCCCACCATCCCCACCATCCCACCAACCTTTTTTCTTTGCGCATCCCTGCCTCCCTCCTCCCCCGCCATCATGGTGTCCTCGATCCCCGACGGCGTCACCCAGGAAGAGCGCAGCCACCTCGTCCAAGTCGCCAAGGACTGGGCCGCCGCAAACGGCCTCGCCATCCGGCCCCCGCCTACCATCGTCCCGCAAGAGGTCGACCCGGCGGGCGTGTTGGCCATTCACGCGCCCGTCACCCTCTTCCCCAGCAAATTCCCCGCTCGTGCTTCGAGCAGGCGAGATCGGTACAAAAGGCTTACAATGACTTGTACGCCAGGGTAGCCCGGGATGAAGAGTTCCTCGGCCAGCTGGTGAAGGAGTAAGAGGCACCCCTAGTTTAATATCCCCTTCTCCCTTCCTTTCTGCCCGGCCTCTCTATACCTCCTACCAAGGCTCTCTAACAGTTCCGCGCGCAACAGGCTAGTTGACGTCGACGACTTCGTCGCAAGCCTGTGGAAAGTGCACGAGAGGGTCAAGCAGGAAGGCTACGCGCAAGATCTATCCCTCGGCCTCTTCCGGTCCGACTACATGGTCCACGAAGACGCGAGCGGGCTCCAAATCAAGCAAGTCGAGTTCAACACCATCGCCTCCTCCTTTGGCGGCCTCTCCACGCAAACCTCCCTCCTCCACCGCTTCCTCGCCGCGACCGAGTACCCCCGCCTGCAGGGCGCCCCCAGGCCTACGACGTCCCCAAGAGCGACAGCGCCGCCCACCTCGCCCGAGGCATCGCCGCCGCCTTTCGCGCGTACGACGCCGCCTCCGCCTTCGCCTCCGCGTCGCCGCCGCGCCCGCGCTGCGTCCTCTTCGTCACCCAGGACGGCGAGCGCAACGTCTTTGACCAGCGCCACCTCGAATACAACGTCTCGACCCAGGAGCCCGCCATCCCCGTCTTCCGGCTCCCCTACTCCGAGATCCTCCAGCACACTCGCGTCGCCGACGGCGCGAGGCGCGAACTCGTCTACACCCCGCCATGGAGCCGCACCCCGTCCGCCGAGTACGAGGTCGCCGTCGTGTACTACCGAGCGGGCTACGGCCCCGGCGATTACCCGTCGCAGGACGCCTGGGAGGCGAGGTTCCAGGTCGAGCGCTCCGCCGCCATCAAGTGCCCCACCATCCTCACCCAGCTCGCGGGCATGAAGAAGGTGCAGCAGGTGCTGGCCACCCCGACGCCGGCGACGGCCCCTCCGTGCACGCGCGCTTCACCGAGGGCCTTGCCGACGCCAAGTCCCTCCTCGACACCTTTACCAACATCTACCCGATGGACGCCTCTCCCGCGGGCCTCGAGGCCCGGCGCAAGGCCACGGACCCGGAGCTCTGCAAGGCTTTCGTGCTCAAGCCGCAGCGCGGGGCGGCGGCAACAACATTTACCGCACCGCCATCCCCGAGTTCCTCAAGACGATTCCCGAGGCGCATTGGGGCTCCTACATCCTCATGGAGCTCATCACCCCACCCCCGCGCACAACGTCATCCTCCGCAACGGCAACCTCGAGGAAGGCGGTATCATCTCGGAACTAGGCGTTTACGGAACCTGTCTTTGGAATGACAAGGAGATCCTGCACAATGAGGAGGCCGGGTACCTCCTTCGGACCAAGGGAGACAAGAGCGAGGAGGGAGGCGTGGCTGCAGGATTCGGTTGTATGGACAGTGTCAACCTAGTCAACTAATAGTATTGGCGCATTGCGAAGCGAGAGAAGTCGGTCTCGGGTGTTGAATAGCAGAAGGAGTCACTTGGGCGAAGCCCTTTGGAAGCGCAAATTATCTCAGCGAAAGATTTGGTATTTCTATCATATACATTGTACACGGGACGCCTCATAAAGCTCCCAGAAGCATTATCAAGGAGAGCATATCAAGGTCCCTTACTCTAGAGTGGAGAGACGTAGCAAAAATCAACTGGGTGGTGATGGACCAAGAGTAAAAACAAACAAAATCCTAGATCAAAACGAGAAAATCCTGCCTTGGCTCAATGTCAAGGAGTGGCTTACTCCTGTTGGGCATCGGTGTTGGGGCGCTTGAGGATGTCGAGAGAGCCTGCGTGAGAAGAAGAGGTGTCAGCAAACGCGCAACCAGGTTCGACAACAGGAGGGTACCTTACGCTGGAAGATGTTGAGAGAGGTCCTGTTCTTGCCCTCGCTATCCTGGTAGTTGCTGACGGAGACGTCACCCTCGACGAGGACGGTAGAGCTATCAAATGGGTTAGCGTCCCGTCCGTCACACTGCGCTAACGGCGTCGAAGACATGCGGGGAAAGAAAGAACGACAGTGATGACCAAAAAAGACAATCCAAATCTACAAGAGGGGAAGAAAATTGAAGATGGTAGTGGGCAAAAACTCACCCCTTGGGGATGCTGAGCAAGAAATCGCGGAGCTTCTCGTTGCCCTCGGGAATGAACTTGGTGACGCGGAACCAGCTGGTGTGGCGGTTCTCCTTGGGGCCCGAAGAGCTAGCAATAGAGTACTTGATGACCTCGTGGCCGGTGCTGGTAGGCTGGAGCTCGGGGAGTCGCCGAGGTTACCGACGAGGGTGATGCGGGCGACGGATCGCGGCGACGAGGTGCTGAAGGCGCGGAAGGCAGCCGGGGCGGCGGCGGCGCGTCGGGCAAGGAAGGAAGACATCTTTTCTGAGATTGACTGTTGGGGTCGGGTATCAATGAAAGGAATAGAGAAAATAAAAAGAAAGGAATGACGATTTCGTATGCGGATTTGGTTGATGGGATGGGAGAGGGGAGAGATGAGATGGGAAAAATTGGGGGTTTGATGCACGTTGACTCGACAAAGAAAGGATTTCGCCAGAGACGTGGTCACGTACGCGATCGCAATCTCGCCCGGCCTCCCCCAAGTTCAGCTTAAAGGGGTCTCTCCACGCAACGAGAGAGGGAAACGCCAAAACGCGAAACGGGCAACATTCATGCGGGTGGTCCGTGCTGTCGGGAAATTTATTGGATTATGCGATAATCAATCCTCCCCCTTTGATGGGATGAACACCCCCGATTGATCCATAGATTTGCCGATACAGGGTGTTTCTTGCAAACGTAACGTCGCTATCCCTCTCTGCTCTGGGGCTGGGCCTGATTTTTGGCGAGACCAGCACTTACACGCGTGCATCCCTAGCCATCATCGATGTAGTAAGAAGTGCTGGATGGTATGAATGACACCATCGACGGAACCATTTTTAGTGGGACTTTCAACATGGGCTCGTTGCCTAGTTGGCCTGCCTGCACAAGCTAAAATTCATAACCGAGCAGACCTTCTCAGGCCGCCACGAAGTGCTGATGCATTTGGAAATAAGCGGCCCTTTGACTAGTAGATGTGCGCATTCAATCCGCAGTGAGGCTCTGACTCTTTCAAAAGCTACTAACACCTCAACAAGTGAGCTTTTCTAGGATACCCTCGTCGTGCTGAGACACGCCAGCGACGGGACCAAGTCCTTAGCCAATCAATGAGTTCCCCCTCTAGGGCCACTCTTCACACCTGATATAATATCCATACCATAGAATCGTTCGCAGTTCATCGCAACGTTGGCGACAATTCCCGTCGTATCAAAGACGAGGCGGGGTTGGCACTAGTGGCTTATACGAGCTGAGAGTGGTGCAACGATCATTCATCTCCATAGTGTATAGTTTACGGCGATCTGCCTTTGCACGTGATGAAGAATTGGGGGAGGACAAGAAGGGGCACATCCATCAAGGGGACGAATGGGTTGGGTCGACCCGATCCGAGGACTTTCTGCGCTCTGTTGAGTGTAGTTCACCTCCCCTAGGTGTTACACTGCATGAAGGAATCCCCTTCGAGGCCTTCACCCCTCCACCAGCAGGCGAGATGCTTCGTACTTGGAGGCACGCATTGTCACAACACCGTCACATCCATTGACGCCACCACCTATCTGGTTATTCAAAGGCAGGCAAACCCCTCATAAAGATCTTTTTACATCGCGAAATGCACGCATATCCCCATTCGCATCGCGCCAAAGAATAAACTATCCAAATCAGCCGGATCAAACACGTCCAAGCTCGCTCATAGGCCGCTCCGAGGCAATCGTCCAGGCTTCGGTACATTATTGATTGTAGATTGTAGATTGTAGATTATACACCATTCGAGCAACGTTTGCAAAACGAACGGGGCGAACAAAGCCTGATTGAGGAACGAACGAGGTGTCCTTGATGGCGGAACACAGCCTTGACAATGGTGTCTCCCTCACCTTGGTTAATCACCCTTCAGGCAGCCTGCGGCGGGTCAAGTCGTGCACCCACTCGACCATCTCCTGGCGCCGTGATCTTGTATCCCCTCCCCGTATGTTTCGCCGTCCCTGCTTACCCGTCTACCTCCCACCCAAGCCGAGAAGAGGAGGTGAAGCATGAGAGCTAGGCGAGGGAGAGCAAGAGAGTAAAGATGAAAAAGTTTGGAGAGTCGGCCCTAATCTCTCACGGAGACCCTCACAGCGTTGAACCAGATAGCTGAGGTATCCTTCTTGCGCAACCACGCGACAAGCTTAGCTGGGAAATGGGGAACGAGCTGGAGGGATGGCGATCAATAGACGAGAAAGGCTGCTGGCGGGCCCCCTCACCCGCAGCTTGCCGTGCGCGCAAACCATTAAAGGACCAGGAGGGGAGGGGTGCGAAAGCCACATTCAGCCCTGCTCCAGTGCGCAAGAGAATGAATAGCTCTCTCTCCCCCCACCCCCCCACCCAGCTTATTCCCTCCCACGCCCCAAACACATCCCGATTCGTTTCCCTCTCCATGCTGTGATCTGTTTTTAGGAGAGAGGTGTGGGGGTGTGTCAGGAGGGAAGGGGGAAACCATGGCCTTTTTGTTCACTGCGTTTGGCGTGGCTTGATGGCTTCGGCAGCAAACGGCATCGCAAATGCACGCAAGATGCGGGTGCGACGTGTCGTTTTCTTCAAGCTGCACCTCTCCCACCCCCGCCTCTTTACTCGGCCATTTTTTTTTAAGAGAGGGCTTCCAGAGATGGAAAGTGTGGAAACATGCATGGGTACGTCAGCTTGACACCGGTCTCGCAATGGGTGAAGGTTTTACTCTTCCCGTTACCCGTCAACTTTCGTCCCGACAACCACCGCTCCTCCACCCCTGCCTCTTGCTAGCCCATGAAGAATTTCGGACCAGGTTCGCCAACCGGGCCTACCCACGTAAAGCCCAAAAGGGAAAACCAAAAACGACAAGGGAAAGAAGACCGGAGAGGGAGAAGGAGACAACGCCTCAGCGCCTCACGCCCCATTATACGTCAAGAATGGACTGAACTTAGACCAAAAGCATGCCCGTCCCACCCTTCCGGTATCCCGCACCCCCACTACCCCCTGGTCCCTTTCGTACGCCATGTCTATCGGCCCCCGTTCCGTCCATGAAACCCGGTCCTCCTTTTTCTGGCGAAGAAAGCAGAGGTTTTCGAGTTATTGCGGGATGTTTGTGCTTACCGGGCAGCCTCATAGTTTGTATTTCCTTCTCGATAGGTTTCTTTATATCCCGCTTCGTGTCCGGGCCTGGATCCCCGGGGTGCTTCCTTGAAAAAGCCCCCGCCCCCGGGATCGAAAGCGCCTTGCATTGCTCCAAAAGGGGAAATGAGGATGAAAAGGGAAATAGGGATATGACTGCCAACAACGCCCGTCGCCCGGTTTGGTATCCTGCTCCCGCGTATCCTCCTCCTCGTCCCGTCCCCTGCTCCGGTGGACGTGTGGTTTCGCTCATCTTAAAACCTTCAAAGAAGACGCTTCATCCGCGCGACGCTCAAAGAAACCGGGACACTACAACCATGTGCACCGTCTTCTCCGGCGACCAAGACTCTCATCTGGGATGACCTACACCCACCTCTATATATATACAGACCACGCGAAACCAGCCTCCTCAGAACAAAACTCCGCTCCATCAGCAAGAGAGACTTTCACCAACCCCATATCCTGTATCAACAGCCTTTCCTTTCCTCGTAGCGTCCCCCTCTTTTTCTCCCTTCCTTTTCCCTTTGTATAAGTCCTTTGCTCTTCACAACTCTCCCCCTCTACCATGTTCGCTAATCCAGGGCAGGTCCCCCCTTCCCCCAACACCACCCTCCCCTCGCCACCATGGGCCCCCTCCACATCGTCGACCTCGGCTCCCCGACAACCTCCTCAACGCCAACCTCACCCACAACCCCCACCCCACCAGCCCAGATCATGGCCAACCTCGCCGCCCGCGTCGTCCTCGGCCTCGCCGCCAACGCCGCCATGGCCGTGCCCCTCCGCATCCTCTACCGCCACGGCGAGTTCGCCGCCGCCGTCTTCATCACCACCACCATGATCCTCAACGGCTTCACCATCGCCCACGCCCTCATCTGGCGCGACGACGACACCTCCGCCTGGTGGCTCGGCGAGGGCTACTGCGACGCCTTTCCCTACGTCTATTTCCCCTCATGATGGTCTACGGCACCAGCGTCTTCGCCATCATGCGCCACCTCGCCCAGCAAATCAGCCTCCTCCGCGCCGACGCCCCCACCCCGCGCGAGCTCCGCCGCCGCAGCATCGTCCAGGCCCTCGTCATTTTCCCTTGCCCCCTCGTCCAGCTCGCCTGGATGTATCCCCTGACCGAGCACCGCTACGGCCTCATGACCCTCTCCGGCTGCCGGTGGCTTCCCGCCGACGCTTGGCCCTTTACCGTCTTCTTCATCATCATGCACCCCCTCTACGCTTTAGGGGCCCTCTACTACGCCAGTTAAGTTAAAAAGCTAAACAAGTGAGAAAAAAGTACAAGACAGCTAACCCACCACCCAAGTCGTCGTCTGGTACCGCTACCGCCAAATCGCCGCAACCGCCACCGCCGTCCTCGCCACCTCCAACAGCGCCGCCAGCAACCGTGCCCGCCGCGCCCGCCGCCGCCTCTACTTCATGACCCTCTCCATCCTCGCCCCCTACTTCCCCGTCTGCACCCTCTTCGCCGCCCACAACATGCTCAACTACGGCTCCTTTGCGCCCCTCGACGTCCCCGCCCTGCGCGCCGGCCGCGTCGACAACGTCCCCTGGAACACCATCTTCCTCGCCCCGACCTCTTCCATGGATTTCGGCTCCCTCGTCGACCGCTACATCGCCATCATCACCGCCTTCCCCGTCTTCCTCTTCTTCGGCCTCACCAAAGACGCCATCAACACCTATCGTCGCGCCGCCCTCGTCCTCGGTCTTGGCTGCCTCTTCCCCTGCTTGCGCGAAGAGTACGACCCGGACCGGCGCTACTTTCCCACCCACGGCGGCCCCTCTGCCTCCTCTCACATCCTCGCCACCTCGGAGACGACACAGTACGTTGTACCCCCTTCCCTTGTCATGTCATGTTACGCCTTTTTCCCCAAACAAAAGCCGAACGTGACCAGAATACGATCAGTGTCACTCCCCCCTCCTCCGATTCCGATGGGCAACACAAGCTGACCCCAGCGGCCCCTCCTTGCCCACGAATAGATCCTACACCAAATCCCCCACGGCTAACCAACGCCCCCACCGGCGACGAACCCAGGTCCGCCCACGCACCCGCTCACACACCCGCCTCTAGCCCTCTCGCGTCGGTCCTACGCTCCGCATTCCACCGCAAGGGAGCTCCGTACCCGGTCCGCACCGAGACCCAGACCGAGACCGACGCATCGCCCGTCGCGCCGGCGGCCGGAAATGCCGTGCCGTGTACCTATCTTCCCCAGATCCCCATCGGCGTCGTCGAAACTCGTGTGTGGAGCACCGAGGATGATGCGTCCCACGCGCGGGACTGGGTGGCTGCGAAGCCTGGCGCTTAGAATGCCAAGTAAAGTAATAATATCAAGTTTAGAAACACGGCAGGCGAGGAAGGAGGGAAAAGAACGTGCGGAAAGGGATACGCCAGGCACCGTATCTCTATTTGCCCCTTAGAAGGCTCCGAAGCTGGCAGCAGCCTTTATGAGATGTGCACATCGATCGATTAACCGAGACTTCTTGTTTGAGAGAGATTCGACACGAGTTCTACCATCATTAATATACGGGCGATTTCAAGTTTGTGCAGTAGCATAGCTGATATACTTGAAAATTCTGTCCTCTTACTTTCCGTTGTCTCGCACCTACAGGTTCTCCAGCAGTGAGATTGCCAATACATTGAGGGTACACGTAGAGAAGAACAGCATGAGAAAACATTATATAAAAGCAAAAATAACGCGGTAGGTATATAGATAAACACTTTTTCGTGTCATTGATGGCATGTCTTCCACCACCAACCACCCCCATAAAATCCAGGACCTCCCAAAGGGGTCATTATTCCGGGACCCTCCTAAATAGATAAATAAAAACTCATGGCTAAGCCGACCTCGCCTCACCGCGACAAACACCAACAGAAAAGACGTACATCCCGAGAAAAGTGAAAAAAGGTAGATAGTGACAAGGCGCCGGATCGAAGCCGTACACCAGAAAAACTCGTATCTGGTTAGTAGGTCAAGGTCAAGGTGGGAGTCCCATATGAATGTAACTTGTAGCCCGTCTGGGCCGTGGGAAACAAGTAGCAAGGTATTGATGAAAAGAGAGACAGAGAACAGAACGCCATGCAGTCATGCTCTATTGGTATCAAAAAATGAAAGGGTCGAATAGAAATCAGAGTCGGAAGAGCTCCTAACGAAGTGACGGCATCAGGAGTAGCGTGAAAGGTTGAATGGGTAGATGGGGGATGAGTAAAAGAAGGTGTGGCGCTAAAAAGAGCATCGCAGCCGTATTAAGCTATGGTGAAAGGTAATTAGGAGGTGGCCGCGATGGCGTTTTCCCCGAGGAAACCTCCTGCTCACTCGGAGTGTTTGGTACAGCCGCAATCTCTGGGTCGGGAATTTGTATGTCGAGCTGGAAAACAGATTCGTTCACGTTAGCGAGTATCCTTGAGAGGAGAAAAAGACTGGGAAGAGAGTAACGTCGGAAAATCAATGTGGGAGGGGAGAGACCATACCGTCATGTATGCAGTTTTCCTCAAGGGAATGATCTTGGGAGGAAAGAGTCCGTCCTCGCCGCCGAGCGTCTTCTCCATCTCGGCATTCCACCGCTCAATCCAAGCCTCGAGAGCATTGAGTTGCGCTTTCGCGCCTGTCAGGCCCAAGTCGTCCCAGATCCAACCGGTCAGTAGCCCGAGAGTAGCGTCGAGGATATTCCGCCAGCTGTAAGGACTGTGTATACGGACAAGGTCTGCATTCAGCTTTTCAATTACTCGGCGGAACTCCTGCTCAGAGAGACCAACGGGGTCTAGGATGTCTGGATAGGTGTTGGAAAAGGTCGGGGCAAGATCGCCGGCAATGAGAAAGTCACGACGCACACGGATGATGCGGGTAGATGCGTACTCTGCCGAGTTGGCAGGGACATAAGGATTCAGGTGGGGGTAACAAGGGTGTTGCGGACCCCACTCTTGTATGGCTTCCGGGTCGACCTCTTCGCCCATAATGGAGGAGTTGGAGGACGAGACGGGGAACCAATACCATCAGGGACCGAGATACCGGAAAGGCGGGGGTCGAGGATGTCAGGGCCTCGCTCTAAATCCTTGGAAAAGGAGCGCGAGCCGCGCTCCTCGGTTGCGTCATGCGTGGGAGGCATGGCTTCTCTGGCTTTACCCTTGTCGAGACGTTTGGAGGCGGGCGAATCCGACTGCTCCTGAATGGCGACGGGGAGCGGCCAGTCGCTGGGATCGGAGTGCGTAGGGGTGGGCGTAGCGTTGGTCGAACGCTTTTCGTCGTACGAATGGCGGACGGAAGGTGGCAGGCTCACGCGTTTCTCACTCGCACCGCAATGCTCAATCTGGAGGCTCGGCCGCGACTGGGCTGGATGCTTGATCTGACGCTGTTCTGCGAGCGAAAGGAGAGGGGTCTCGCCAGAGCCAGTACCCGGGGGTTTGCCGGCGTCAGTTTCAGCGCCGATGACCGGGTGAGAGAGAGGCACGGAAGGGAGCGGGGCGTCGACGGACGTCGCTGGCGAACGGTTTTGGAAGCCTTTGCGGCGCGTGGCGTCGAATTTGTTGGGTTCCAAAGGCGAGCTGCGCCAGGTCGGCGTAGACGGTGAGGACTCGCAGAGGCGGCGCGATTTCGGAAGGGCGAGTGCAAGCGACGGTGTTCTTCGGGTTGATTTTTGGGCTAGGGTTCGATAATTGTTGCTGATGCTGTGAGTGATTTTTGTGAGAAGAGGAAGGTTTCGCAGGCCGTCTACCGACTCGCTGGAAATTATCCGCGAGGGGTTCTGGTGGTGGTGGAGGAACGGCAAATGCGACCGTTTCGGGAGCGAGGGTGGTAATCGGGTCTAGAGAAAGGGGCTGTGGTGAATTCGCAAGGTCGTGCTGCTCGACGGCGGGTGACGAGAGACCTGGATAAGAGGGCTGGACGGAAGGACTGTAGATTCTCGGGTTTCTAGATTCATCTATTCCTAGGGCGGCCGGGTTTGGTGATGGAGGGTTTGTGGAAGCGTGGGGATCCGTTTGGACGGGGTTGAGGATGCGGCCGCTGGGAGAACGGCCGCGGAGAATGAGGTGGTGGTGGTGGTGGTGGTTTTGGCGGTCCTGTTCACCTGACACTGTGGGAGAAGTAATGCTGTGGGAAGAAGGCGCTGCACCTCGCAGAGCAGACGGGGAAGCGATCGTCGTAGTAGTAGGGGTAGCACGGTGACGGCGGCGATGGGGAGAGCGGGTGGAAGGCGTGCTGCTGCTGCTGCTGCTGCTGCTGGGGCAATTCAATTGGCGGGTTCCTGCAGCGATTCGCGGGGCCGGCGTGTAAGGAAATTTCGAGGAAGCCCTGGTGGTCGACCGGATTCGAATCGTCGATTGGGTTTGATGATCCAGCGACGGAGACGACGATGGGCGACAGAAATTGCACCTGGGCTTGCGAAGGGGGTCGGGGGCAGGTCGGCAGCGATTTTGGCGTTTGGGATGGGGAGCGGGAATAATATTGGCAATATTAAGATTGGCAGGCAAAGCCAAAGCGCTGGTGGGAGACGAACCAAACTTTCGGAGAGGCAAAGGGGACGACGGCGAGGGAAGAGGCCGAGAGAGGGTACGGTCGTGCTGGAGGCGCGCCTGCTGCTCGATTGGCGAGGAGTCTGACAGTGGCAAAGACACTGGCAGTGAAGGTGGGCAGGTGGCAGAAATCTCCGACAAGGTGCAGGGGGCGGCAGGTGCGTCCGACTCAGGTGTCAGGTGGCCGGGGAAGGGGAGCCGGGAAAGGGAGGAGCAGCTGCAGTGGAGGAGTGGGCTGCAGGAGGTGTCGAGGTTGGGCGAGCAAGTGCCGTTGGTGAGTTGGGTGGGCGCAGGAACAGGGACAGGACGGTCCTCAGGGGTTGCGACTGTGACGATTGGGGGTTGGGCCGAGAATGGTTTAGCGGGTCCGGACCAGAATCCCAGCATCGTGGGAATGCGACGGCAAGCCAATAATTAGGTCGCCAACGAAATTTTGGCCCCAGCACAGAATGCAACCGCAAAGCTGGTTGGGGTTGGGGTTCGGAGACCAGGATAAGCAGAACAGGATTTTTCTTCCCTACCCTTTCTTTTGGGCTTCGTACTTTCCCTTTTTTCGCCTTCCCTGTTTTTTGAGAGGGGCAGGAAACCTACGAGTGATGAGCTGCCTTTAGGTTGGGAAGTACTTGTAGACGATTCTCATCGCTCGAGTGCCCCTGGGTCGCCGTGGTCTCTTGCGTTGGCCGAATGATGGGGGAACAATTTCGAATCTTTTTCTTTTTGTGCCGTCGCGTTTTCGTCGAAGCGTTTTTTGGCGCACAGAGCTAGTGTTGATGGGGGATAGCTGTGTGATGGAGGGGTCGTATCAGTTGTGTGCGCCTCGTCGTGGGTGATCACCGTGCTGGAAGTCTCGTGTTTGGTTGATCCGGAACTCGGAATTTCTCTGTGCTAATTCCCGGTATAAATCGAGGGCTCTTGTCATAGAAAACAAGCAGCAGGTCGCCGTCGAGGACTCGCTGGGTAGAATCGGCCGGAAGTGGCGAGGAGAAACGCTGGTGGGGGAAAGGAAAAAAAGGTTGAAGTAAAAGGACACTCGGAGAAGAGAACAATCGAAGAAAAGAAGAAGGATCAAAGGTCGGCAAGCTTTGTTGGACATCAGCCCTGAGTCTTCCGGGGACCTGGATTGACCTGATATACATATCAACGGCAAAGGGTAAAGGACAAGAAGAAGAAGAAAAAGAAGTGACGAGGTCAGCCATGTGCTCAGACAGGGGTCTGTCCCGACCCTCTCTCAATCTTCGATCACCTCCCCCAGCCCACACAGTCCAGCCCAGCCCAGCCCAGCCAGTACTAGACGGATACCTTGACCTTGGAAGCTTTTAGCCCGACCACCATCTCCAACTCTCCCCACCCCCCTCGTGCCTCCTTTCTTCTTTACTTTTGACACCAGACCTTGGCAGTAGCATGTCAAATCACTTGGTCGTGGGACGTTGGTCCGGACGGGATTTCCTCCAATCCCAATGCCAGCCAGGGCGATTACCAGTCAAGGCAACACTTTGGCCTCATCCGAGCCCAGAGCCATGGAGAGAGCATGTCTGAGGTTTGTGTTGGATGGCACCAATCCGTCATCCACGTCACCGCTGGATGTATACTTTGTCCCCGGACGCCGTGTGTGTGTATGTGTGTGTGTGCGTGTGCGTGTGTGTCCATGTCCAGGGTTCAAAAGATTCCAATTCACGGGTCAAACTTGGATCCGGGGCGTAACCATGAGACCAAGGTGAAGCCCAAGGGTAGGTTTATTAGTCTCCAAGCAGGATGACCATCCCATCAACGTTGATCGACGATTTCGCAGTCCCGGAATCGCCGGTGCACATCCCCTTGCCATGCCCACTTGGAGGTCATTCTCTCTATTTCCTTTGGCCGCATCCCTGTTGCTTGGGAGACATCCATGAAAAGGATCCAATGTAAGAAATATTGATCAACTGCACAATCGGCGTATTAATGTATGCTACGCAGCAACGAGAAAATCCCGAGGCCGGCAACAAGTTGCGTGTCCAAGTGCTTGAAAGATGACTCCCCACAGTAAAATATTCAATGTTGTTTGTGGTGGATTCAATTCTTATGCTGTCACCACAGAGGCGCGGAACTAACCCAGGGTCACCATGCCTCTGCCAGGAGTCTGGCTTGATCTATTGCTCACTCTTCCGATAAGGATGCCAGGGATCCTGGGGCAGCCGATCTGAGCAGGCGATGATAATACGCTTCAAATCGTACTGTATATCTGCTCCATGTACCCCAATGTCTCGGGTCGTCTACGATGTATCAATATCTGATGTGCGAGGAGCGTGGCCCAGGCATTGACAGCCCTGATTTCGCAAGGCGAGCCCGCTTCAATGTTCCGGTACCTGGTCCGTCCGGGTCCTCTCCAAATCTCCAAGCCTCCACAACTCCAAATCCAAATCAAACGCAGCATAACAGACTAATAATAGCGGCGCCAACGGAGTGCCGGCCGCCCTCCAGCATGACATCCATCTAAGGCTGATACACGTACTTCGTACATACAGAATTGAAATCACAGAAAGAAAAACCGGCAGAGGATCTCAAATTGCCCCGAAAAGATGAAGAGCGAGATGAGACGATGTCGGTACCGGGGAAAGAAAAAGAGGACAATCACGGATGGATCCAAGTCCAGTCCCTCTCAGCCCGCCTGTCCCCCTTTCGCCACCCACCTCGGTCCCATTCCAGCGGCTCGCCAAGCTGCAATTCTCCATCCAGTGCTCCTCGCCTAAGTGATTGTGGTGATGCGATCCAACCATTGTCCGCTGTGCATTGCCTCTGTATCACCCTGCCCAAGATTAGATGGGCTCGCCTCTTTACATCAAGCCGAAAGCCCTTTTTGGCTGGCCACCACCTCACGATAAGAGGGGATCAAGGTCCCCTGCTCACACCTACAGGCTTTTTGTCGTTCCCCTCCGCCGCCCGACTGCGCTCTTGGCCGTCCCACACAAGCCCCCCAAAAATAAGACCTGTCATGAATTAATCTTCCATTTCAGCATAATCGTGTAATGCCAATCGATATGGGCGACGACAAAAAGGTGCGGCGAGGCCGTCAAGGGGTTTGAATCCTTCCCTTGTTCTGCTGCACGCACTCAGAGTACTTGCTACCGTTCGACCGCAGGTTCCGAGGGGGAAATATTCTTCAAGGCAAGGCAGTTCAGGGTCTGTGCAGACTCCCACGCATGATGTTCCCAGGGCTCTCGATGGAACGTCGCGACTTCAAGTTCTCAACTTTCGAAGCAGCAAGCGACAGAGGGCCCCCGCACTCGATGTTCATTCGCGAGTCAAAAGTCGTCTGGTGCAAAGGGGAAAACACCCACCCACTGCCAAAGCCCCCACAGGACCAGCCCCTATTCTGACATCATCTTCACAACATCGAGAACTCAAGAGCTTCGACAAACAGTTTTCCCCCTGCATTCAGGCATCCGAGCTCGTCACTCCCAGCAAGTGTTGATCCCTTCTCGATGCGAGTACCTGCCCCACGTACAATACATTAGGCATTGTTCACGCAGTCGTCAACATTGAGCCCCAGGAGTCAACCACGCTCGTGACCGCTTGCTAAGAGCGAGCTCGCCAGTCAGATGCGCGGGAACACTCGACTAAAAATAGCGTATATGGGGATATCGAAAAGCATGAACATTGATCATTGAGGGGCCGCTCGCCCAAGCATGTGGTCTCATCGCTCCCCTTTCTTACTTGTGCGGGACTCTTCTGAGGTGGTGGACTTCACTCCAAAGGCACAGCCCTTTGCTAAATAGTCAGCTCGCTCGTCAGCTCGCTCGTCCCAGTGGTAACCATTGTCTTGATTCCGAGTGTGTGTGTGGGTGCTCGGGCGGACGAGACGAAAGTTTAGCCCAATCAGCCCAACCGTCCGAGTCATGGACCTCCGATTTGTCCAACCAGCAAGCAAATCACCAACTAGATCGAGACGAGGAGCCGAGCGAACATAGTAGCGTCTCTCCGTCGTATCCAAGAAGCCCGGTTCCTTGTGTTGCCACGCACGTCCGAGTGTTCGTACAACGACCTAAGCCGTACATGTAGCCGATGAGCACACAGGTCCTGCTAGCTACTAGGTTTGTGGGGTGTAGAAACATGACAAAATCGCCGACCTTGTCCAAGTTTCCTTTCGCTGCCCACATCGAATGGCTTGATTTGGCTTCAATCTTGTGCAACTGGCATTCTTTTGTTTTGCCGCCTCGTTCATTCATTCTTTTTTTTTTTGTTTCCCTTTGCCTCTTCTAGGCCCTGAGTGGGCCCCATCATACCAATCCCGCTCTCCATGTAGGCTTTGCTGCTTCCAGCCGCTCCTGTGCAGCGGCGCAGCAACGCATCACCGCGTCCCCGTCACACGCACCTTGCATAAAGGTTTTCCGCCCGCCTTTTTCACAAACAGGCGAGATTAGGGGCGTTTCCTTGTGTTCCTTTTCCCCACGTAGATCATTGCTTGCTGCAGTGCGTATGCGGCGGAGGGCCGGTCCAGAGCACGAAGGAGCGAGAACGAGAGCTGGGGATGGGAACCAGAAGACCTCTAGAGAAGAAAAAAAAAGAAGAAAAAGAAAAAGAAAAAGAAAAAGAAACTGCCAGCGCCCGGATCGAAGAGAACGGGGATCACCTCTCGCCCGAACTGGCATGCGATTCTCGATATCATTTCCCCTCATCCACCTTGTAAGCGCGGCTCTTCCCGAGAGGTATCCACATGCGGTATGTGGAAACGAGTCAAGTTGCCTTCGGACAGCTGCCCCAGTTTTCAGTCAGGAGCGGAGCTCTCCAGATCGGGGGAAAGCAAATCCGTATTCCAAATGGTACCTACTTCATCCTCATTGATATGAAATTTACCTCGTTTCCCGATAGTGCCTCGTCAAGCCTTGCTCTCGCATTACCTTGACCCGTCAACAGATGCATGAGCGAGGACTTTTCCAAATACTCCGTCTTAAAACACCCGGGTCCTCCGGAGATGAAGCGCCGCCAACTTGCCTACTACTTGCGTTATGAGGTCGAAAGCCACTTTTGCAAGTCCTGGCTCAGGATATTATGATGTACTGAAAGTTCGGCATGGTGGCGGGTGCGTCCGTGAATATGTCCACACGTCCGAAGAAGCAACAAACCAGCTCACATCATCCTGCGGCCTCCACTCCACTATTCACAACCCAACTCCGGGTGGCTGGGAACTGGGAAAAAACAAACCTAGAGGATATAGTGGGTAGTCAAAGCTGCAGGGAGAAGGACGATCAAAGGATGAAAAAGAAAGGATAGAAAAAAAAAACATACAACACCGGGGATTCGCTGGTCGTCACCGACCCAACTACTAGTCCGGCGCTTCGCAGCTTATGTACAGGGGAGCGGACGGGACCCTCAGTATTCTACGAGCTATGGTCGTATGTGCTAGACCAACC